AGAAATAATCAATTACAGCACCACTAGACAGAAGTGATTTGCATTTCTATAGACAAGAGCAAACTGCATGACTATCCATTTTCAACAACTTATAAAATTGTAAAATAGCACAAAAACAAGGAAAGATAACACTGAAGAGAATGCTAAACAGGACACCCAGTATTCTTTTTTGTCCATTTAAAAATCTTTCACAGTGTTTCCCAAGAGAAGAGATGCCCTTCTCAGCACCCACTTACATCTCATTGACCAGAATTGCATCACTTAGTCTCCTTCACTGCAAGGGAGGCTGGGCAATCAAGCATCTTTAGCTGGACACATGGCTACCTCAAGTAAAACAGGATTCTGTTAGTAAGGTAGTCTGCCTCACCTGTACCCCCACTTGATGTGTTAACAGCACTAGATTTTTATTTTTTGAAATATGTATTTATTTAACTACACCAGATCTTTGTTGAAGCTCATCTTTGCCTTGTGGGAGATCTTCCTTGCAGCATGTGTGTGTGTGTGTGTTAGTCGTTCAGTTGTGTCTGACTCTGTGCAACCCCATGGACTGTAGCCCACCAGGCTCCTCTGTCCATGGAATTCTCCAAGCAAGAATACTTGAGTGGGTAGCCATTCCCTTCTCCAAGGGATCTTCCCAATCCAGGGATTGAACCTGGGTCTTCTTCATTTCAGGTGGATTATTAACCATTTGAGCCACCAGGGAACCTCTCCTTGTGGCATGAGGGATTTTTTTAGTTTTGGCATGTTGGATCCTAGTTGCAGCATGCGGGACCTACTCCCGTCCAGGGATCGCACTGGACCCCTACATTGGGAGTGCAGATTCTCAACCACCTGACCACCAGGGAAGTCCCTAAAGGCCCTAGATTTTAAAATAATTTCTAGCACACGCGAGTATGAGGATGGCTGGAGTAAACCGTCTGTTGGTTTTGATACTTCAGCATCATTCCCTCTTCTGATCACAGTGCCTCAAATTTCCTTTGGGATGTAACCTGTTTCCACATTCCAAACCCAGTTCCAAAAATGGACACGTGACTCAGGGCTTGACTAATTATGGTGACTGATTTAGGAACGTAGGTGATTGGAAACAAGCCCATCAGATTCAACCTTGGAATTTCATTGGAACAAAACTATAACTTACACTAGAAAAATAGTAATACTTAAGGCTGAAAGATATTTAGTCAATTTCCTGACAATGTTTAGTCTTCAACTCGATTCCTGTATTCTTTGTAATAATTCCCCTGCCTCTCAGAGTCTGTGGCTTCCTGGAGAGAAACCACTGTGATGTTTCTTTATTCAATAGGTTGTTCCTCCTTCTGGTACCTGAATGCTGACAGATTGTGATGAGTGCGTGAGGAAGTACAGCTCTGGGTTTGAATGCCAGCAATGTCAGGCAGAGTTCACCTAGAGAATAGAACCCTATCTAAGTATTTAAAGCCGAGGGGAATTTCATTCAGGGCTTTAAAAACTAAACAGAGATGGTGAAGCCACTCAGAAATTAGCAGCAAGAAGCCATCAATCACCATTGGTAGGCTAGAGACTAGATCTAGGGAGGGGGTGATGTTACAGGAGCCCAGAAGCTGAGATGCCTAAATTATACAGGGGGAGAACCAGCTAGCTACTGCTGGAGATGTTGCCCAAGAAGATGGCATGGTCTCATTACTGCTTCCCACTGACTGAACTAGCTGGAAGCTCAGGAAAAAGAAAGCTTGGGAATTCAGTCATAGGAGTCAGCGCCCCCTTCTCTACAAAGCATAGCAGGAAAAGCATGAGGAATGGCACTGAAGACATTAGGTCTACTACACAGGACTGGCCACTTATCCTTATTTCCTCGTGTCTTCTAAGATGCCACTGACTGCAAGATGCACCATTAGTTTATGCATCACTAAGAAAGGAAAAATACTGCCAAACTAAACTATGCCACAGTGAAATCCCACGGACAGAGGAGGCTGGCAGGTTACAGTTCATGGGGTCACAAAGAGTCCGACATGACTTAGCGACTAAAATAACAACGCGAAGACTCCATTCCATGCAATACATCTTGATATGAGAGACGTGAAAATGTAAAAATATGTATGTCGTAAGATCATTAACATGCTACTAGCTGTGTGTCTTAAGCACAGGTAAACAATGCATCCCCATCTTTGAGCTTCGATTTTACCCTCTATTTGGAAATCAGAGACAGTCACTACACTGTAAGGATTTTGTAAGTCTAAGACTGTTAAGCTCAATAAGATCAGGGACTTTGTCTCTTGTTCACTGTTTCCCCAGCATGCAGCACATAGGGTGTTCTCAGGCATCAGTCGTGTCTGACTCTTTGAGACCCCCATGGACCATATAACCTTCCAGTGTCCTCTGTCCATGGAATCTTCCAGACAAGTATACTGGAGCCGACTGCCATTTCCTATTCTGGGGGATCTTCCCGACCCAGGGATTGAACCCACGTCTGTTGCGTCTCGTAGTAAGAACCCAAGTTTTATGAAATGAAGTCACCTGGACTCGATCCCCAAATGAACAGATTCTTGGCATGTAAGTGTCAATAAATGGAAGCTTTTACTATTGGAATCAAATAGGCTTAGAAACAAGATCTTTTTTCATCAATATCTTTTAGAATTGATGCTCTTTTGTGAGAGGGGGAAATCACTCGTTTATTTAAGAAAGACATCAGAGTAGCGGTCACAGTCTCCAGAGAAAAAGATTATGCTAGATGGCTTCATGCACACAAAGTTCTGAGCAGACAATTTAAGGGTGGTACTGCTGGTGGCAAATGAAGTTGTAGGGAAAGGGGAGAATGAGAAAGATGTGAGTGGAGGAAAAAGCAAAATAGAAAAGAACCACCTCCACCATCTACAAAGCACTTTTGGTCTCCATTTCCCTAACCCACATCTCTTTAGCTGTTGTAGTGTTGTTCTCATTTCCCAAATAGGACTCAGGCTGAAGATGGATATGAAGGTTTTTTCCCAAAATGAAACAACTAGATGGAAGCAAAGCTAAGACACACGATGTGTAAAAACCTGATGAGAAATGGACTATTTCCTGCAGATCAGTAAACAAAGGATGTCACAGTCATCATCACCACCAAACTGTGAGCTGGTGAACCCTGAGGGAACTCGGGAAGGAAAAAAATACCTGCCATCTAGCAGTCATCAGACTACAGCTACTCTCTACAATGAGCCCTGAGGAAACTCAGGATGGGAAAACACAGAATATTGGCCCCAGGTAGCTGAGGTGTGTATTAAAGGAAAGATTTCAGTAAGCCCAGGTTCCTGCATCTACTCATACATAGAAAAATCACTTAATTTCTTAACTTGACATACCTGATTTTCTTTAATTAACAATAATCTTTTGATTTTCAGACAATCTGCTCCTTGCTGCAAAATGCCTATATAGCCTGGCTTCTGCCCTCCCCAGAACAGTTCTCTCAGGGTTAACTTGAGATGCTGCCTCCTAGGCTCGAAGCCCTGAAACTCCAGCCAAGTAAACCCTAACTCTCAATCTTGAGGTTGTGAATAATTTTTTAGTTTACAGTGACGTGGGAGAGTTTAATTCCAATTTAAAACACATATAAGGATCAGCAGACACCAGGAAGCTGTGAAAATAGTTGTTAGGTTGGTGAGATTGCAGGGCAATGAGAAACATGGAATAGCATTGATACTGTCTTTTTAAGAAGAATTCCGCCAATATAGGGTAGGGCGTTGAAATTAAACCAAACGCCTTTTCCAGTTGCAATCTCCCCGCGGAGGAATGACATCCAATAGGCTGGAGGTTAGTCAGGACTGAAGGATGCACTCCAGACCCCAGGGGCACGGCCACGTCCCCGCCTCGGCAGTAAGGAGTCACTGCGGACTTAGACGCTTATCTTCGCTTTCCAAAGAGCGCCCCCTTCCGCGCCGCGACCGCGGACCACCCACCCTCTCCCACAGGTAACGAGCACCGCCTACTGGCTGTCAGCCTCTAGGCTGCTTGGCCCCGCCCCTGGGCGAAATGCGCATGCTCTCCAATTCTTCCCCGCCCCAGCCTTCAGGCTTCTCGCGACAGCCGCCCGGCGGCCACTGAATCTCGCGATAAAGGCTTATTGTCTCGCGGGACCGCCGCTGGTAGACGCGCTCTCGGGCGGCTCTGGCTGGGGAAGAGGAGTCGCATGTGTCGCTTCAGCTGGCGGTAGTGGCGGGAGCGGAGGCGGCGGAGGCTGTGCGACCGCCTGGGTAATAACCCCTCGTGCCTCTCCCGTTCGGAGAAGCTTGTAGAGAGCGTGGGGAAGCTGAGGTGCTGTCCGGCGGAAGGGGGCCGGGCCGGGCGTCTCCACACCCCCGCCCACATGGGCCACTCTGGTGTCCCCGGGGTTGCCCCCTTCTCTTCAGGTCGCGCCCTCACACCTGACCGCTCTTGTGGCCTTAGTCCTCTTATATTCTGCTCCTTCCTGGTCCTTTTGCCCGTATTCTGTCTCCTCAGACTCTGGTGTCCCCGCCGTCTCCCACTTCCATCCCCTCTCCCGACTTTAAAGCGTCCCTTTCTTGGCATCCAGCCGCCCCCACACCCTGCACTCTGGGCGCCTCCGGCGACCCACTCCTTCTTCACCCTCTCTTCGTAGGTTTTTCCAGCCTCTTCAGTTGCTTCTTGGCCTTTCTCTGTTATACTTTGCAGCCCTTCCGAATCACCCCTAAACCTTTTGCCTTGTCTCCACCGAGGTCACTCTCCTCATCCTTTTTCCCATTGCTTCTTCACCGGTGCCCCCCACCTCCCCGTTGTCATGGTCCATTTGTTATGAATCTCACTGTTGTTGCTTGTTTTCCTGTAGACCTGGAAAATGGTGTGCCCAGAATTACTCATATTTTATGAATCCAGCTTCTTACTTCTCATTCAGCAGAGAATTGAAACAGATTTGGGGTGGGGGGGGGGCGGATTTCTAGTGGAAGACAAGGCTACACCCGAACAGGGTTTCTCGCAGGGCCTTGGTCCCAAATAGTGAAGCTGTGTTATTTTCTTTTCTGACAGGTTTTGAAATGGCTGCTGACATTTCTGAATCTGGTGGACATGATTGCAGAGGAGACCAGAGGAGCAACACCAAGTTAGATGCAGATTACCCACTTCGAGTCCTTTACTGTGGAGGTAAGTGTTGGAAGGCAGAAAATGGCTTTTACTCATGGTATTTTTATACGTTATGATCAGTGGCTTCACATTTGGTCCAAGTAATTTTTTCATCTTTGTCATTTGTTGAATCTTTAATTGGGAGTTGGGGAAGAGGAGGCATGGATGAACAAATTTTCCCAACATGTGGGACTTGTGTCTTGCTACTTGGCCTGGAGAAATTTTCAGTCCAGTTGGAATAGACATGTGTAAATAGATTATTCCAGCCCAAAGTAACTTCCCAGTCTGGCTGTTGAAGTTGGGCTTCTTTTTAGATAATTGACTCTAAAGGGATGACTGGACGAGGGAGTGGGAAAATGCATCCTAGATGAAGTGAATAGCTGTGCAAGGAAAAGCTTGTCTGTGGAGAAATAAGCAGTTTTGTATCAGTATAGTGTGTAGTGTAGGAATAGTGTAATAACAAGTGGAAGATGATGAGGCTGGAGTGATGGGCAGTAGGACAGTTGGAAAGTGTCCTTGGTTTGGTTAATAAAATGTGGATCAGGGTTTTTTTACCCCCCTTTGAGTATGTTTCCTCATTTTCAATTCAGAAATATTTGTGAATAAATAAATAGATAAATTTTACTAGCATCTTGGAAAGGTTCAGAAAAATTTGAAGTCATACGACAGTAAAGTAAAGGACAAATAAATATTATCTTTATCAGTAAATATTTTTGGCCACTTACTACGTGCCTAACTGTTTTTTGTGTGCTGGAGACTGAGTAATGAATAAGTTAAGAGAGGTCACTGTTCTTGTGGATCTTACCTTCTGTGAATGTAATAGAGATTTCTTCTGGAATTTAAGTACTATAAAAGGAGAGGTGATGTCACTGAGTTGAAAAATTATATCGACTCATCATTTATTTACTATCCTTGATTAAGAAAATAAAATGAGTGTAAAATATCCCAGAGAGTAGGCAGGGGAACTTTATATAAGGTTGACTTTGGAGTCATGGACCAGGGTTTGCCTCCTTCCTTTGGGCATTACCAAATTAAGCTCCTGCTTAATTCTAGCTCTGTGACCTTGGGCAAACTACCTGCTTTCACTAAGGGTTAGAAGTTTGTTTCTTAAGGTCTGTAAAATAAAGATGGTGATTACATCTAAAGTCAGATAATTCGTATAAAGCTGGTTAAGCAACAAATACAAGAGCATAATACAGTAAGTGCTCTTATTAAAAAAGTATAGTGGTTTATTCATTCTTGCTTGTCAGATGTAGTTATGAGTTATCGTTCTTTGTTTCCTAATTCATTGAATCTAAGTCTCCATATGTTATAAGATGCACCATTATTTTAGGTTCCACTGAGAAGGAAAAATTTGTTAGATTGACATGCAATAGTTATGGGATGCAGCCCTATAAAAGTGAAAAGAAGAAAGAATTAATGAAATACAGTATATGAAAGCCATCCTCTTCATTTGCTTATGTTACTCCTGAGATGGCTTTGAATAACTGCACTAAGTATGCATCCAACCCAGTGATATTTCACCAGTAGTCACCAGAGGTCCCTAACCTTTTTAAGAAAGGTTTATTTTTATTTCCCTAGTTTGTATGGATATTCCAGGCACTAGGATGGAGACAGGATTACATTTTCCTCAAGGAGTTTAAGGTCTAGTTGTAGGAGAAGGACTTAGGGAATATTCAATGCTAAATTAAATGGTACTGACCAGAGCTATGAATTAGGATTTTAGGAAAAGGAGGGATCTTTGTTCCAAGGGAAGCTGGGAAAGTGAAGTGAGAAACCCTACATAAAAGTAGAATTTGCAAGGAAAGGTTGAGGAATTCACAAAAACAGTATGGGGGCAAGGTTGAATATGGTGTTTTCAGGGTAGAGGGGAGGAAGGGGGCTAATTGGTGCAGAATGCTGGTTGAAATAGAGTGAGAAACAAGGGTAAGTGGGATGGGGTCATTTCCAGGGAGACATTTGTCTGCAGGACTGAGACTTCAGAATTTGAAGCCAGTCTGAGTTTGAATCCTGGCTTAGCCGTTTACTTAGGTGACTTTAGCCAGTTCCTCATCCAGAAAATGGATAGCAGAGCCTACCTCAGCGAGCTGTTGAATAAATAAAATAATGCTTCCAAAGGCCCCATCTCCTAGTAGCACCACATTGTGAATTTTGAGGGGACACAAACATGAAGACCATAGCAGAAGGTTTCTTGGATGATGGACTTTGTTCTTCATATCTCATCAGCAGGTACATAAGGTCAGGTTGTTAGTGATGTAAAGCTGGTGACTGCTCAGTATTTTCATTGAAGAGCTGTAGTTTACAAATAGTATATCATCTGTGGAGGAAAATTGACTTTAAAAGCAAATAATGTGGAACTTGGAAGATTTTTCCAACTTTTTTCATCATATTAGAATTTTGCTGAACTGAATACTATTTGAAATGGTGTACAAAGTTTTATGGTTTTAGGGTTTGCAGTAATGGTATTTAACCTGTAATTATATCCTGAAAGTGTGTCTGGATATCTGTTACTACTAGTGATTGAACTTGAACTGTGAAGATTAGAGAGCTCTGGTTAAGCAGAGAGAGCTTTAGTGGAAAACTCTAAAATGAAATAAAGAGATGGTACACTCCAACTAATAAAAATAAATGGAAAAAAAAAAGAGGGATGGTACATTTTATCGAATAGTTTTCAACCACATTACCACATTTGTCATTGGATGAGCTATTTAACCTGTTTAAAGGTTAAAAAGGTTATAAGGCTTCATCTGTAAAAGACTGATGATGGGCTGGTACACAGCTGCATTGCCTTGATAGGTTCTGTGATCTAATTAAGTGGTTAAGAGCATGAGCTTCAGAAACAGACCAGGGTTCAAATCTTGTTCTAACCAGTTGCAAATGAATTACTTGTTCCAAGTCTCATTGTTCTCAATCATGATAAACATATGGTAACTCTTACCTTATCGGGTTGTGATGATGAAACATAATACAGAGTGCCTGGGATGTGCCCAGTAGATAGTAATTGCTGTTATTAGTAATGGTGTACCAACCGTCCTCTCCCTCACAGGCCTCAAGGTGTTGGGCCCACTGAACTAGTGCATTCCTCACCTTAAAAATTAAAATAAGCAGTTGAAAAAAATAAAATAAGCAGTTGAAAAAATAAAATAAGCAGTTGACCCAGTAATAGAGTTACAGTTAAAATTGGGAAACTTTAAGTTTTCTAGTCCCTTAGCCTTTGCAGGCTATCTAGTGACAAGACTGAACCAACCTCCCTTTGAAGGAAGGAAATTCAGTTTCATGATCTTGTATAGCATAACATGAAAAGGAGAGGAAAACTATATTGCAGAGAAATGGTAGCAGAAGTGCTACGGAAGTCTGTAAATCTGTTAGTATGAACGAAAATTAGCGGCTGTTTTAGTGAAGTTATCAAAAGAAATAACCAGCTCCATTTAAGCTTTGTTGCATGGGTAATTGTTCCCATCCTAGCTTAGTTTCCGACCCATTGAAGTGGTTGTGGTAAAACCTTAAGACATGCCAGATAGTATAGTTTGATGTTTTAGCAACTGAAGGAGACATTGTTCTTTAGATCAAAAAAAGAAATCAAGATAGTATCTCTATTAACCCTGTGCCATTAACCTCAAAAAAGCACATGATGGGGGTAGTATTTGAAAAGTGGTATAGAAAAGTTATAGGAAAAAATAGAAATGAAGCATTTTGTCAAATTAAAAATAAGTCCTGTGTGTGTACTTATTTATTTATTTATATTTTCAAATCTTTTCTCTCCATTTCCCCAGTCTGTTCATTACCAACAGAGGTAAGTTCTTTTCAAATTCTTTTTTTCTTTTTAAATTTGAGGTCATTGATTTTATAGCTAGCTTGGGCACTTCATTTTGTTATTTTTCATTTTCTGTTATTTGCTGGCAGAGTTTCAACTTTTTATAGAGAACTTTGGTTTAGAATGATTTTATGGTCTTACAAATTGTTTTTTTTAGACTTTGAGTCGTATGTGTGCATCTTTTGCACTTGGCTATACATAGTTTGGATTTTTGCACAGAGCTCATGAATAGTTAGCTAGTAAAACAAAGTGACCTTAAAGTCAAAGTTTAACATCCAAACAGAGAAGAGAAAGCATAAATTATGTGTAAGGTATTCTGTTGATAAGCTTCTAAGTCAGGCTCTGTGGGCAGATCATAAAAATGAGACACCTATATGTCCGAAGCAAGAAATACTTGTGGTTATTTTTGTCTGTTTCCTCCTTTTTCTAATGGCCCTTCTGTTTGTTGGAGAGGAAATAAATGGTTACAGTGAGGAGATGTGTTTTAATTTTTAATTTCTTATGGGACATTTCCTGGTTGAATACAGATTTTCTATGGATGAGACATTAGGTGGGAGTAGTTGATTTTATCATTCTATAAATCGCAAGCACAGGGAATGATTTTTTAATTAAAATGATTAAAAATATACTGTTGTGACTCAGTTTGTTCTTTTCCCCTCTCCAGTACTGTGAATATATGCCTGATGTTGCTAAATGTAGACAATGGTTAGAGAAGAATTTTCCAAATGAGTTTGCAAAACTTACTGTAGGTATGAACATTTTTTTTTCTTTCATCAAAACCTGTACACCTGAAACAGATGCATGTAGGGCATTATTTTAAAGATACAAAAGTCCTCTAGTAGGAACAGAATCGTATCACTCTATATATCTATGTCTATTGACTTTAAAACCGTTTTAAGTTCTTGGGTTAATTAAGATTTCTTACATGAAATCACGGACCTCTTCATGAATCTTATCTCTGGATAGGATAGGTCAAAATATCAACTTTCTTATATAAAGAAGAATAAATGATTTAGGGATATATATTTTCACTCATTCACTTAAATTATTTTTTGTATGCCTGCTATATGCTGAACACTCTTTTAGATGCTGAGAATAAAGCAGTAAACAAAAGACCTACTCTTTGGAAATTATAGAAGGAGAGACAAAATAAGTAAAACAAGACAAATGAAATAAATACATTAAATTATGATAAGCAGGGAATGGAAAGATAAGAATTTGGGGGGAGGGAATTTTAAATCTTGAAAGATTTTGCTGAAAAGATGGCATTTGAACAAAGACCTAAAATAAGTGAGGGGGAGAGTCCTTTGAATATCTGGGTGAAGAATTTTCCAGGCAGATAGCACAACCAGTGCCAAGACCCTGAGGCAAACACTTACCACATACAGCATATTTAGAAAACAGCAAGGAGGACTTTGGTTTTTTTTTTTTTTTTTTGTGGGAAGGTGGTGGGGGAAGGTAGGAGGTGAAGTCAGAGAAGTAACGAAGGACTATGTCTTAAAGAGCAAGTCTCGGCTTTTCTGAGTGAGATGAGAAGCAGTTTGAGCAGAAGAGTGATGATAAGGTCTGACTTTTGTTTCAGCAGTATCTTTGGCTGCTATGTTAGAAACAGACTGAAGAGAGACTTCCCCAGTGGTCCAGTGGTTAAGACTGGGCTTCCAGAGCAGGGATGTAGGGGACTCGGATTCAATCCCTGATCAAAGAACTAAGATCCCACATGCTGCGTGGCATGGCCAAAAAAAAAAGACTGAGGAGAGGCATAGGCAGCAAAGCAGGGGGATCAAGTAGGTGGCCCTTGCAGTGGTTGGGTCCGGAGGATGACCACCGACTCCAGGACGGTAGCAGTGGGGTGGTGAGAAGTGGTCAGATTCCAAACATGTTGTGAAGGGAGAGCTGACAGGGTCTCCTGATGTGTTGCATGTGGGATGTGAGGAAAAGGGCCAGCTAGACTTTTGACTGAAGCAACTAGAGTGGAGTTGCTGTTGCCAAAGGTAAGGGAAACTACAGAAGAACAGATTTCCTCAATTAACAAATTGATGGCTTTTCTTACAAGACTGGTAAAAACAAAGGCAGTAGCAAGAAGAAGGGAATCCCTGGGCCAGAAACAGGGCTATTGAAGTATACCCAATGTCATCCTGCTATTTGCTGCTTTGATTTTCAGATAGTTTTCCATGAGGCCCAACCCCTGAGACAGCATGGTCTGTCTGTGATTGGATAAGAACCCTCAAATCTGATGTAACAGTCAGTCTACCTGGTGGGCCCTGAACATGTGACTTGCCTAGGACATATCTTCATATATAGGACTAGATTTTCTGTTAACAGAATTAGTATGCTTGACGCTAAACACTCCTGTGGAGTCTTGAGGGTTTTATGCTTCTTTAATGTGGCTTCTTTCACCATACACTTAACATAATGACTTCAGAATCAGGCCTGATAGGAGTCCAGGAATGTAATCACTGACTTTATAAATGTTACACTCATTTGTTGGTGAAATACCTTATTTGTCTGTAAAGCAATTATCCTTCAAGTAAAAAATAAGTAAATAAAATACCTTATTTGTGTATGAGGTTTCTCAGGGGTAATTTCTTAATGTTAGTATGAAGTGATGTCAGTGCTTATAAGGATTTTGTTTTTACATCTAGAAAATTCACCCAAACAAGAAGCTGGAATTAGTGAGGGTCAAGGAACAGCAGGGGAAGAGGAAGAGAAGAAAAAACAAAAGAGAGGTAAGGCGTTATTTGACTTCTACAAACATACTGCTAGAAGAGGGCTTCCCAGAAAGCTCAGAATCCGCCTGCCATGCAGGGGCCCGCGGGTTCAGTCCTTGGGTTGAGAAGATCCCCTTGAGAAGGAAATAGCAACCCATCCCAGTATTCTTGCCTGGGAAATCCCATGGACAGAGGAGCCTGGCGGGCTACAGTCCATGGGGTCGCAAAAGAGTTGGACATGACTTACCAACTAAACAACAACCACCACTAGAAGAAATAAGAAGTGAAAGCATTCCCAAACTGAATAACATCTTCCTGTTACTGCATTCTGTGTGAATACCATACAGAGGGGTATAGAATCGTTCTCAGGATGACTGGATTTCCTATGATTTGGGCTCTGTCAGTAAATTGGACCCAAGGAAACGTGCTTCATTTGCCATGTATATACCTAAAAAGAAGCTAGCCAGCTTGTTTATGACTTAAAAATTTTGTTACCTTATAAAAATATCTGTGTATTCTATTTAATTAGAGTGAGGACATTTATAAAAGATTTTGTTCTTTCCTTATTTCTGTCAGCTCAGTTGAATTTTTCTTTTCACAACTGATGAATATACCTGCTACCTCTCCTCCTTCTAAAATGAATTTCTCGTGCCTTGTATCCTATCCCTGCCTGTTTCTTCTTCCTAAATTAATTCTCCCATGACTAAAATTAGCTTATAAATATTTTCTAGGACTTCACATTAAAAACAAAAAAACATTCCCCTAGGAACTAGTGTCTCTCTCTGCCATATTCTCCTCCCCATTCCCTTCTTAGCTAGACTTCCTTGCTCAGACTAGACTCAGCTATCCTCCTTTCAGTTCAGTCGTTGAGCCTTCACTCCTCAGTCCATCCTTACCTGGCTTTCATGCCGTTGAAACTCCTGACAAGGATCACAAGTGGCTGGGTGGTTGCTCAGTGATGAGAGCACGTCTCAGCACTCCCTGAAGTGTTGTGCTTGCTCCCTCATTTTGGTTTCCTTCCTCCTCAGGCTTCTGTGTAGACTTCTCCCTTCTGTCCCTTTAAAAAATGGTGTTTTTCCCAGGACTCTGTGCACTTAACTTCTCATTCTGCATATGCTCCCTGGATGATTCTGCATCCTTAACTTTTGCCCCTACTCTGCACTTAGAACTCCCAAATCTAGTCCTGGATCATGTCTCTAGACTAGAAATGCTCATGGTCCCTTAGGCACTTCAAACACAGTACTTCCAAAGTAAACTTAAGTCCCAAATCTGCATCTTTTGTTTTCTTCATTTTGATTAATGACAGCAGTTTATCCAATCATTTGAGTCAAAAACCTGAGACCGTCTTGGTTTCTTTCTTTTTGCCCCTTTGAATCAGTTCTGAATTCTGTGATTTCTTCTCATTCCTCTGTTTATCCTGTACCTTGTGGCCATTGCTGTTGCCACTGCTTTATTTAGATTTTGATTAGTTTCTGCCTGAACTAATGTAGGAGGCTCCTCAGTGGCCTTTCATTGCTCTTCACAGACCCACCCTCCACATGGTATGATGATCTTGACAGACCATAAATCGATGATTTCACTCCTGCATAGTCACTTGTTTGCTGGGTTCTTTTCTTTGCAGTATAACAGAGCTTGATGTGCTAGTCCTTAAATGACTGGTATATAATCTTTGCCTATCTGGCTTTTTTTCCTACGTATCATAAGCTTCCTTCAGACAAGTGTATTTGCAGCCAAGTAAGCCAACCATGCTCTTTTCCCCATGGGGGCTCAGTGCGCAGTGGTTGTAAACAGTGCACTAACTCCTCTGTAGTATATTCAGCTTGTGGCCTATATGGGTCACCCTAAGGAGACAGCCCTTTCCAGTAGACACTCGCATCTGCCCTAAGGAGACCAAGTGCCTATGGGACCACCCCAGTTGAGGCTCCAGACAGGTATGTGAAGTGCCTTTGGAAAGCCCCAGGGCACAGTGGCCAGGGTCCACATTGGTCAAATTGCTATGTCCATCCATACCAAGCTACAGAATAAGGAGCATGTGATTGAGGTGCTCTGCAGGGCCAGGCTCAAGTTCCCTGGATGCCAGACGATCCACATCACCAAGAATTGGGGATTTACTAAGTTTAATGTGAATGAATTTGAATGGTGGCAGAAAAGTGGCTCATCCCAGATGGTTGTGGGGTCAAATACAGCCCTAACCATGGCCCCCTGGACAAGTGGCAGGCCCTGCACTTATAGGAACCTTGGCACTGTCTTTTCCTTACTACGCCAACCAATAAATCCTACTTTCCTGTTAATACACCAAAAGATGAAGTGTAGTTCTCAATTACAGCATCCTTTCTTGTCTCTGTACTTGTTTCCTTTTATCTCCACCAGCCCGTCTCCCTTCAAATGGACTTATTTTGCAGGCACTTAGATGCCACTTTCTGTGGGAAACTTTCTGTCCTCTGGAAGTAGAGTAAGCCATTCCTCTGCAGAGCTTATGGTAGTGCTGTGTTCATAGATCCTATTTCATTATATACCAGATTGCTGTAATTGTTTAACTTGTTTTCTCCTTGCACTGGACTGAGAGCCTCTGGAGGACAGGGACTGTTTTTGTTCTTTTTGTGTCTTTGTGTCCTTGGCCCTTATTGCAGTGCACAGCACATACTGCTTAATATGTATGGACTGAATGAATACTCACGCCATGTGTTTATGAAGTTTGTATTAGAAAAAGAAACTTGAGAAATATTTCATACCTTTTGAAAATCAGTATATTTAAAGATAGTATTCTCTATTTATGATAAAACAACTAATCCTGAACTGTTTCTTAATAAATAAAGGTGGAAGGGGTCAAATAAAACAGAAGAAGAAAACTGTACCACAAAAGGTTACGATAGCTAAAATTCCCAGAGCAAAGAAGAAATATGTAACAAGAGTGTGTGGCCTTGCAACTTTTGGTGAGTTCAAGCTTAAGTATGTTTAAAATTTGTGAATTTTATTCATTAATTTATTTCATTATCTCTTTTTAATCTAGTACCGTGAAAATTTTACAGTTCTGTTTTTTGCTAAGAAGGATACAAAATGAGATTTTGGATTTCTAACTATAGTCAAACTTAAAATCTTAAAAATCTTTTGTAGAAGGGACTGGTTTAACTTTTTCCATTCCAGAATTTCTGCTTGTGCATATTTTATCTAGAATGAGGGCTGGACAGGTTTCCCTTTGAGGTCTACCAGCACTGCTGCTCTTTCCCTCCTAGTCTCAGTAGCCAAACAGTTGCAAAATGATATGTCCTCTCTGGGATTACAGTAGAAGGTAAGGGAAGGTGGTTAGTGGCGAAGTGTCTTCCTTTGTAAAAAGGGATAACCACAAGAAACTTCATTTACTTGGAAGTGTATATGTAATGTTGGAATTCATGTGTTCCTGGATTTATTTTGGTCTTGAATCAGGAATAGTATGGATCTTATTTTTCTATACTGAGGCTTTATCTGACCTTAAAAATGTTACATTGTTACATTGTTCAGATGACTGCTTATGGGTAGTTTGTAAATACTGTTCTGAAAGGAAGGTGAAACCCATTAATATGATCTGTTTTATGAATTTAAAATGCAGATTAAATTTCAAAATGGAAAAATATTCTTTGATGTATGATTCCGGTTATAGTCTCACTGTTTCTTTTTTTAAAATAACAGAAATTGATCTTAAAGAAGCACAAAGATTTTTTGCTCAGAAATTCTCCTGTGGTGCCTCAGTAACAGGGGAGGATGAAATCATCATTCAGGGAGACTTTACAGATGACATTATTGATGTCATTCAGGAAAAATGGCCAGAGGTGAGTATTTGGAACCTGTGCATCTATAGAAGTAAGTTACTAAAGCAGTTGCTTCTGTGTTAGTTGCTAAGCACAGCTCATGAAATGTAATTATTTGTGTTTTATAGGTGGATGATGATAGCATTGAAGATCTTGGAGAAGTGAAGAAGTGATTTTGAAAATGTGTCTGTATTTAATGATCTGAACTGATTGTTGGCCAAAGGGAGAGAGGCCTTTTAAAAATATATATATTTATCCTACAGTAAAACTGTAGCCTACCCTCACCCTTGGCATTTTCACTGTTCTGTACAAGGCTGCTTGTTTTTTGGTGTGTTTTTTTTTTAATTGCCAAAGTCTAATAAACAGGAGAGACTGTCATGCGTATGCATGAGATAGAATTTAGTCAAATAAAAAATTTTGGTCATTTGGTACTGACTTTTCTCTTTCTTTTTAACTTTTTTGGAAAAACTAGATTTTCTGTGGAAAGTTTTTCTGTTGATTATTTTTAAATAATCACAGTTTAATAAAAAATGATTTTTTTTTTTTTTTAGCTGAGTGATATTTTAAAGATTTGAATTTGGCTTCATCACCAGTAATAACTATCTCCTTGCTTCTTTGGTGTGGTAGTTTTGAGATGCTTTAATATCTCATGGATCTATGGTTGAATTTGCTTCATGGTCACCAACCAAGTTCACTTTGTGGGCATATTAACATATTGTTGGTAACAGCTGTTTAAGCTGTTCTGGAGATTTTTTGGTAAAGTATATTAAAAGCCTTAAAACCATCTGCACTGTTTGACCCACTTTTTTGGTATTATCCTAAAGATATAATGTCTTACTTAAAACTATGAATGAGGGTGTTCATCACAGTGCTACTCATAATATTTAAAAAATTGCAAATGATTATAAATGCACAGTTGGGAAATGGTTAAAGAAATGATGATGTGTCATATGGTAGGATATTTGCATATATTTTAAAATACTTTCTAAGAATACTTGGAAAGGTGTTTGATAATGCTAAGGAGGAGGTCAGACCCCCAAATCCATTTTGTACATTATTTTCATCGTCTTGAGTGGACAGCCATTCAGAGAGGCTGAGTTCTTGTTCTGGCTGTAAATTTATGTGAGTGAAATTCTGCTAACCATTTGAAAATAATATACACTATTGCTCAGTATAGTCTGGGAAGCAGCAATTGAAATGTGTTTTTCTCGGAAGAGAAGCAATGACAATGAATCTTAATGAATATATTAAATGAATTTAAACTGTTTTTATAAAGGTCCTAAGTCTGGTGCTACAAACTGGAAAGAGGACTCAGTGGTATTTTAAGTTGCTGTCAACACCTTTAAGAAAGTTAGAACCCATTGTCTGTTGCCATGCAGAATACCATCTTGAATGAATGAATGGGTTTTTGAGTAATTGAAACATTAGGAAGAATGTATAAATAAAGATGTAAATTAAGAAAATGAAATTCTGCATTAACTGTGAATTTAGTTAAATAAAATTATCTAATGAAGCAAATTTATCCATTAAGACCACTTGATATGTGTTATGTATGTATTTTTTTGGTGCTGGAAGATGTCTATGTGCTTATATCAACACACATGTCTTCATGTAAAGATTAATGTTCACAGTTCTTGGCAAATGCAGTTTCAGTCCATTTATAGCCACAGTGGATGTTACTGCAGGAAAATGCAGGATTAAAACTGTCCTTGTGTATATGTGTGAATCTTTTTCTTTGACTTGAAATTTAAAATGCAACTGTTTAATCTCTGATTAAAACCTATTATTCAAGGGGAATTCTGTGGCTGTCCAGTGGTTAGGACTCAGCACTTTCACAATTGTGGCCTGATTCAATCCCTTGTCAGGGAACTAAGATCCCACAAGCCTCATGGCATGGCCAAAATACATATATATGTATATATATACATATAAAATATATATTCAAGGACTCAGTTGAATTCATACATTCTGTGTATGCTTTTATTATGTAAATACTTTCACAATCTAGTATTTTTAGCAAAAAGAATACTTTAAACAGCCTTATAATACATGTAAGAGATTTACAATGATTAAGCTGGCAATTTCAAATACAAATACAGTTTTGGTATGTAGTGTCTTATTTTAAAAGAACGTGCTGGCAATGTGTGGTTTTAAATTCCTTTTTAGTTGTTAAATAGTTGCTAAATAACATTAAGTCAGCTGTCACTTAGGTATAATCCATGGTAGCTTTCTCATTCTTAAAAATTAATAACAATTTTTAAAAAAACAATTTATACCTTTTAGATTCTGTTATTTACTAAATGCCTTTACTTAGGAAATATGGTAGAGAAACTGGAATGAGTCTGTAGAGGTCATCAATTTTAATTAATGCATAACTAGGTGCAATTTAATTCTTATATTTTCTCTTTAAAGATTTTTGACCAAAAAAAAGATTTTTGACCTTAAAACACTAAGATTTTTGATTTGCAACTAGTCATAATAGCCCTCTTAACCACATTCAGTTGGTACTTACCAACCATAACTCATAAAAATGAGCCTCATTTCTTACTGCTTCATATACTTGTACTTTTAAAGTGAATATTAGGCATGTGATTGCCCGGTAAAGAATGACATTTTCAGTTCCGTCGCTCAGTCGTGTCTGACTCTTTGTGACCCCATGAATCGCAGCACGCCAGGCCTCCCTGTCCATCACCAACTCCCAGAGTTTACTCAAACTCGTGTCCATCGAGTTGGCTTCCTAAAAATCCCAAATTTTACAAAAGTGAAATTTGAGAAGCATGTGAATTAAAATGTTCCTCACTTGGAAAATTGACATTCAATCTCATTCCTTTTCATCTTTCTCATCCCACCACCACAACTTACTGCATAGTCATCTATGGATAGGTCATTTAACAGCTAGTCAGCATTTGCTTTCTTGACTTTTAAATTCTAAGGCATTGTCTTGGTTCTCCTGAACATGAGCCTGTCCTAAGGAGACAAGTGTCATCCAACTCAGTAAAGTTTCAAGGTAAGAATTTTTTTTTTTCCCCTTTAAAAAATGTTGGCAGTGTTGGATCTTCATTGCTGCAAGAGCTTTTGTGTAGTTGAGCGTGCAGGCTACTTTCTAGTTCTGGTTGCAGGCTTCTCATTTCGGTGGCTTCTCTTGCTGTGGAGCACGATCAGTAGTGTGGCTCCCCAGCTCTGTAGCACAGGGTTGATGGTTGTGCACAGGCTTAGTTGCTCTGCAGCATGTGGGGTCTTCCCCGAACAGGGATCGAACCTGTGTCTCCTATGTTGGCAGGTGGGTTCTTTACCATTGAGCACCAGGGAAGCTCCAAGGTAAGAAATTTTAAATTTGTTTTTTCCATGTTCAGGTTATCGTTTATGAACACGAGGGCATGTTTTGCTAATTCACGGTCAACCAAAAGTAAAGTTGAAATACTATTACGAATTTGTCTTGCCAGCACTGCCATCTTATGGGTTAAGTAGTAGGGGTGGGTGACCAGAGGTTAAATATAATAAGCATTACTTTTTTATTGTCCAGTTCCTATATAATGAGTAAAAAGGGGGAAGGAGTGACTGTGATCAGGAGAAGAAAATCTTAATCTCAACTCAGAACATGGTAAATATTGTCAGGATAAAGTGCCAAGGGTCTCCCCACACAGGGTGCACAACCACCCCCTTCCCTGGGGGCAGGACCCCCAGGGTGTGCATCTCTACCCCATGGGGGTACATCATCATTTGACTTACCTCAGGGGGTGTACGCCCCCCCCCAAGGGGGACAGCACACCCACTGATTGAATCTGCCTTAGTAAATATAGTGACCATAATTAAGTCAATCTCCTTAATGTGTGTCCCAAGAGGTAAGGCAGATTGAGTTAATTGGGGGGCGGGGTCAGGAAACCTAAGATGTTTCATTGGTTCAGTGAACGTTAGGCGATTTAAGGACTCGATTTAACTGGGGGCGGGGGTGGGTATGGGTGTGGGTGACGGTATTTGAGAGATGCGATTTAATCAGCAGCGACTCATGTGATTTAGGAGTTGGTTTAATATATAAGGAAAGTTATGACCAACCTAGATAGCATATTAAAAAGCAGAGACATTACTTTGCCAACCAAGGTCCGTCTGGTCAAGGCTATGGTTTTTCCAGTGGTCATGTATGGATGTGAAAGTTGGACTATGAAGAAAGCTGAGCGCTGGAAAATTGATGCTTTTGAACTGTGGTGTTGAAGAAGACTCTTGAGAGTCCCTTGGACTGCAAGGAGATTCAACCAGTTCATCCTAAAGAAGATCAGTCCTGGGTGTTCATTGGAAGGACTGCTGTTGAAGCTGAAACTCCAATACTTTGGCCACCTGATGCAAAGAGCTGACTCACTGGAAAAGACCCTGATGCTGGGAAAGATTGAGGGCAGGAGAAGAGGATGACAGAGGATGAGATGGGTGGGTGGCATCACCGACTCGATGGGCAGGAGTTTGAGTAACCTCCGGGAGTTGGTGATGGACAGGGAGGCCTGGCGTGCTGTGATTCATGGGGTCGCAAAGAGTCGGACACGACTGAGCGACTGAACCAACTGAACTTAATGTATAGGAGTCACAATACCGTGGGTTGACTGAATCAATGGGAATCACCTGATTTATGATAGGGACTGATTTAACAATAGGAGTCAAGTCATCCAGCAGCTGATGAAATCAGCCCGGGCACCCCCCAAGAGGGACAGCACCCTTCCAGGCTGAACAGCAGGGTGGGTACACGTCCTCCCTAAGGGGGCACGTCTACCCCAAAAGGTGCATCTCGTCATTTGATGTACATCAGGGGGTGCACGCCCACCCCAAGGGGTACCTCATTATTTAACAAAAGAGCTACATCAAGAGTAAAAAAAAAAACAAACGTTTTCCTCTCTTCATCTATGATTCTCAGAACTGTCTGCGGGGCTGGTCAGCAATTGACTATCAACTACTACCAGAGGTGGTGTCTGCCTCCCTCTATTTGAATGCCAGATACTGACTGTTCTCCCTATCCGGGTGTGCAGGGCATCTAAGGCGACAGCGCTCACAGTTTAGGAGGGAAAGACGCGAATCTCTAAGCAGCTGGTCATACATAGGCCAGGACGATGTAGCAGAGACGGCCGTTCATTTGTTCCATCATTCTCCGGGTAGTGGTGAAGAGCGGTTCTTTGCGGGCCGCGGCTAACGGCTTTTAACATCGCCAGATAAGCCATTCGAGAGTCTCCAGACTTGCAAGAACAAAACGCCGGATGGCGGCGCGACCCGCGCCCAAGAGACCAGGAGGGAGCCAGCCCCCCGCGGGGTCTCGCGAGAGCCGGGGAGGCCCGTCGGCGACGCCGTAGGCCGAGCGGGCTGGGCGCGCTCCGCGGGGTCGGCGGTTTGGGCGGGCTGGCTTGGGCCGGCGAGGGCGCGGGGCTCCGGGGCTCGGGGCTCGCCCCCCGCCGCTCCGGGCAGGCGCGCCGATGGCGTTTCTAAGGTGACGCTGCGCACACCGACTTCTCCGGGGGCGGAGGAAACACCTATGAACCCTTCGGCCACCTTCCTGGCCGGGCGCCAGGTGAGAGGCCGCCTCTCTGCGCCTCTGGTTTATGCCGGCTCATCCCAGGGCGAGCGGAGAGCAGTCCTCTGGGACAACGTGCATGGGGGTTACTCAGGAATCGTTCCTGCTTAAAATGTGAAGCAATACTCAGGACGCAGGGGAGCGTCACGTCCGTTTCCTTACCTTAATGAAAACGTGTTCAGCTCAGGCGCGGTGCTCATTTTTAAACGACATACCAATGGGCAAATGCAGTGTTGTTTATACACCTGCTCGCTCACCAGCACTTCCTTCCCAGCCACCTGTGAGTGGAGCAGCGCTGTAATCACCAGTTTTCCCAAAACGTCTTGAAAGTAAACTTGCCCAAAATATGCATGTGTCTGGTCCGTATAGGTTGAGATGAACGTGTTTTGCACACTTGGTCCATTGTTGTTTCCTGTGTTAGAATCTATGCTCCGGGCTGGCGAACTCAATGCCCCAAGCAACTGGTCTGCCCAGTGAATATTGGTTGAGTGAATGAGTGAAATGGCTTACCAAAGACTGGAATTCAAGTCTTATGGCTTGGAATTCCTTGACTCCCAAGTTCCATTTTCTGTGTTTAGTAAGTAACTAATGCATTCGTCATTATTATTTCTCTACAAATCTTATAATTCAGAAAGCAGTAATGATGTACATGGGTCTCTGGTAAACAGTAACACTTTTTTTTTGTTTAATTGGAGTATAGTTGGTTTACAATATTGCGTTCTTTTCAGTGTACAACATAGTGATTCAATTTTTTGTTTTTTAGTTCTTTTGTTCATAGATGGGGACAGTGCCATACTTCAGAATGTGAACTAGCAAGCAACTCCTTAGTAGATAGCATTCCTTTTTCAATCATGTAAGGGGTCACAATGACTCACCACTTGCCTTGTCTGTGCAAATCTGAACTGTGTAAAAGTGAATGTATTATTTTGATGTATTTTCAACCTTTTGTCTTGAAAACGTATGTAACTGTGTTTTGACATCTTACAGGCAGAATGGTTCTCAGAGCTTTTCAAAAGACTGTCTCCCAGGTTATAATCCTCAGATAGGCTGGAAAAAATTTTCCATTTCTTTTTTAAATTAACTGTTGATTGATTTTTAATGACACAATGGTGTGTAATTTTTAATGACACAATGGGAAGTGCTTTACAAACCTTATCTTGCTTAATCCACACAACTCTAAGAAATCGAAATACTGTTACTGCCATTTCACAGCAAAGAAACTAAGGGTTAAGAAAGTTAAGTAACTTGCCCAAGGTCTTAGAGCCACCAAGTGGCTCATTCTGGATTCCAACTTAGGTGAGACCAACTTGACTGCACTAGACTTTCAAATGATACATGCTTAAAAGGAATTATTGCAAGTAATTTTGTTAGGCATGAAAATGGCATTTTGGCTATATAAAAATGTTCATTTTTAGAGAGGCATACCAAAATATCTAGAAGTAAAATATATTTTTTATCAAAAAGAAAAAGGAAAATTGAAACATTGCAAAACTTTTGATAGTAGTAAGACCTAGTTACTGGGCAAATGTGGTTTATTATACTGTTCTTTTATCTTCTGTGTATGTTTGAAATTTTTTCTTTATAAAATTTGTTTTAAGTAGGTATGCTGAATTTGGACCAGTTATATTTAAACAATATTTACTTCCTGTTTCCCTTTACTTGATTGTTCTAGAATTGCTAGATGGGGGTATAAGGTGGAGGATAATATTGTTGACTGATATAAGGAGAGAGTTGGCAGCAAAGAAAAAAAATGCAGAAATGGGTTTATCAGTGATTAACCAATGGAGGCTTTACAGCTGGTCCTGCTCTTTAAGAGTGGTGTGTTTTGTATGACAGAAAATGATAGAGACAGAGTGCACAGTAGGTGTTAGCATGTGTTAAATATACATAATTTTTCTGCCATGTTATAATCAAGAAATAAAATTTCTTGATTCAAGTTGCTACCTTGAATTGGCAGCAAAAGAAGATACTGGGTTGGCCCTAAAGTTCCTTTGGCCTACCCAATATAATTGTTTGGAAAATATGCTTTGGCTGAATTATGTCGATGGCTTTATTTTGTCATGAATCTACTTTCTATATTTAGAACATCGGGTCAGAGGTTGAGATTTCCACTATTGAGAAACAACGGAAAGAGCTGCAGCTGCTCATTGGAGAGTTAAAAGATCGAGATAGAGAGCTTAATGATATGGTTGCAGTACATCAGAGACAACTTCTTTCATGGGAAGAGGATCGGCAGAAAGTGTTGACTTTGGAAGAACGTTGCAGCAAATTAGAAGGTCAGACATATAGTCAGCATCATCCATCTAGCACTGGTACATGCCAACATACTGAAAGGGCTCATGGTAAAAATAGAGAAGCAACATCTCAACACAGTCCCTGCTGTCCTAGAGTTTAATTGAAGATAGGAGGACTTCATGAACATTTACAACAGAACAGACAAACACAGTGTGAATTAAAGTAGGGCAAGCAAAGTATTAATACTTAACTGTAGAGAGAGTGTTGGGAAAGCTCCAGTAGACAGGAAGGGTCAAGAGTGAACCTGAAGGAAATTAGTTTTGAGCTAGAATATGAATGAAGATGCCACTGAACTGGCCATTCCTTTTGAACTGACTCAAAGATTTTAAACTTTTGATATTGAACTTGATCTCAAATACCTAAAACAGTCATATTTTAAAATTATAGCAGCCTCAAAAGTGGCTTACAAAAATTTCCCTTTGTACCATATTTTAACTGTCATCCCTTTGGTGCTACCCTAAAATCTGACTGTTCTATTGACACTGTGTTAATATTACTAGAAGGTACTAGAAGAGGAAATACTAGATCTGTTTAATAGAAAAGTAGGGACTTCCCTGGTGGTCTGTTGGTTAAGAATCCACCTTCCAATGCAGGGGATGTGGATTCAATCCCTGGTTGGGGATCTGAGATCCTGCATGCAGTGGGGCAACTAAGCCCTCATGCCACAACTACTGAACTCACATGCCTCAACCAGAGAATCTGGGCTCTGCAACTAAGACCTGACACAGCCAAAAAAATAAGAAAGCTAACCATATATCCCCTTCTTTTTTTTTTTTTTTTTGCTTTTATTACACAAAGGATTCTATAAATGTGACAATCTAAATATGATTAATTCTTCAATTTCCTTGATGATCATCTGATTTTACTCTAACTGTACCCACTGCACATATATACACATAAATGCAGTATTTGTTTATTTTTTAAATTTAATTTTGTTTTAATTTTTGACAATGCCATGCGGCATTTGGGATCTTAGTTCCCCGACCAGGGATCAAACCTGTGCCCTGTGCATTGGAAGCACAGAGTCTTAACCAACAGACCACCTGGGAAGTCCCAATAAGGTATTTTTAAATTGAGGTCTACACATTGATTTTTGGACATAATGCTGTTGCACATTTAATATACTAAAATATAAACATAACTTTCATATGCACTGGAAAACCAAAATATTTGTGTGATTCACTTTATTATGATATTCCCTTTATTTCAGTGGTTTGGAACTGAACCTACAATATCTCAGAGGTCTGCCTGTATAACCATTAGTATCTGGTTTTAAAATGATCAAGACACTTGAATAGGCATTTTACAGAAAATCGGCCAATAAATTTACAAAAAAGTTCTCATTCGTAATTAGGGAAACGAAAATGAAAATTAAGACCATAATGAGACTTCTTACACTTAACAGACTGGCGAAAAATATCAGGTACTGGTAAAATTGTGGAGCAAAGGAAGACTCATTCACTGCTGGTGGGAGAGTCCGTTAGTACAACTACTTTGGAAAAATCATGTGACGGTTCTGGTAAAGTTGAAGATATACCGAGCTATGGCTATGCATTTCCACTTCTGGAAGTATACTCCCACTTCAATATGCAAGTGAATTACCTGAAAGTGAAGTGAAAGTATTAGTTGCATAGCCGTGTCCATCTCTTTGCAACCCCATGGACTGTAGCCCAATCGGCTTCTATGTCCATGGAATTGTCCAGGCAAGGGTACTGGAGTGGTTGGTCATTCCCTTCTCCAAGGAATCTTCCTGATCCAGGGATCCAACCCAGGGTCTCCTGCATTGCAGGCAGATTCTTTACTATCTGAGCCAGCAGGGAAGTCCTCAGGATCTTACTAACAAGTAGATTGTGATACAGTAGGTCTGTGGCCCAAGAGTCTGCATTTTTAACAAGTTCACAGTTGATGTTGGTGCTGCAGGTCTCAGGGACCACATTTTATTTAGGAGCTCTTGCAAAAAGCATGAAGATGATGTGCAAGAATATTCAGAACAGCAGTGTTCATAATAGCTGTGAAGTGGAAACAGTCCAAATGACCATCGATAGTAGAATGTGTAAGTAAATGTTGGCATAATCATATAATGTTATTATGTGGGAATGACAGTGCACAAGGAGGAGTTACACAGCCACATGGATACATCTCAGGATCATAATCTTTATTTTTTGGCCCTGCAGTGCAGCTTGGGGGATCTTAGTTCCCCGAAGAGGGATCAAACCTATGCCCTTGGCAGTGAAAGGGCAGAGTCCTAACCACTGGACCACTAGAGAATTCCCAGAATCATAATCTTAAGTGAAAAACAGCAAACAGAATTCACACAATTAAACTATTTTTAGGGATGTGATCGTAGATAGTAAAACTATAATAAAGAACAAGGAAATGAGTAAGCTCAGGATGGTGATTGGAAGGTGGGAATTGGAGAGACTGTCCAGGAAGTGACACGCAGGGCTCTGGGGTGCTGCTAGTGTTCTGTCTCTTGACTATGGTACAGTATCATGCATTTCGTAATAAAAACTTTTCAAAGAAGAATTAACCTTTGAAAGATTCCTTCGCACACTTACTTTTTAACCATTGCCTGAAAATAATCTCCCTCAGGTGAACTACATAAAAGAACTGAAATAATCAAGTCACTCACAAAGAAGGTGAAAAGCCTTGAATCGAACCAAATTGAATGCCAGAGTACTCTTCAGAAGACTCAACTACAGCTTCAGGAGATGGCCCAAAAGGCAACCCATTCCTCTCTCCTCTCTGAAGACCTTGAGGTTGGTTTTATTATTCTAATTAATTAATTTTTTATTAGAGTATAACTGCTTTACAATGTTGTGTTTCTGTTGTATGACACAGTCGCTGAGATTGGTTTTCAGATAAGCTTCGCTAGCCCAAATTTTGTGTGTGTGTATAAAAGTATATCCATCCATTCAGCGTCACAGTTTTATATTGATGGTGAGCTTTGGTCAGCTACTAGTGTTGTTTTGTCTTGAAGATGAAGCTTCATTACAGCTCTTTTCTAATTGTTAGGCCATTTGTTTGGTAGCATCCTTCATTTTATCAACAGTGGGTTAATTTAAAAAGTCTTTCTCAAAGCCTGAGATCAGTATCACCACGCAGCTTCAAATTATGCTTCCTGAATAACTGTGTCTAATCTGATGAAACAGATATCTACCTCATGTTAGTGGCATATTGGGAACAAAATGTCAGAGTGATCTTTCAGTTTTCAGTCCTGGCTGATGAATCATCAAATATCTTTTGAACTTGTGCTTTTTGAGAGGCACAGTGAGAAAGCCTTTTAAAAAATATTTATTTATTTATTTGTCTTTTTTTTTTTTATTACTGTGCTGGGTCTTTGTTGCTGCAAGGGCTTTTCTCTAGTTTCAGAGAGTGGAGGCTACTCTCTAGTTGAGGTGCACGGGCTTCTCATTGTGGTGGCTTCTCTTGTTTCAGAGCATGGGCTCTAGGGTGGACAGGCTTCAGCAGGTGCAGCTCACAGGCTCAGTAGTTTGGTGCATGTGGGATCTTCCTGGACCAGGGATCGAATCCACTGGCAGATGGATCTTTACCACTGAGCCTCTAGGGAAGCCTGAGAAAGCCTTTGTTGTTGTTGTTCTTACTGCCTTCATGTTCTTGTTTCATAATGACACCGGTATAGATCTTGGTAATGTAGTGAATCTTAATAACTCATAATAATTGTATAGATTTTATGTCTTAATTTTTTTTTTTCAGATTACTCTTCTAGACAGTTTTTAGCTGTAAAATAAGTGAAAACTATTAATGGAATCTTGATGTGAAAGTCGCTTAGTCGTGTCTGACTCTTTGCGACCCCCATGAACTATACAGTCCATGGAATTCTCCAGGCCAGAATACTGGAGTGGGTAGCCTTTCCCTTCTCCAGGGGATCTTCCCAACCCAGGGATCGAACCCAGGTCTCCTACATTGCAGGTGGATTCTTTACCAACTAAGCCACAAGGAAAGCCCAGAATCTCTGATATGTTGAATTAAAAAATGGAAATACGTCAGCCAGCTTGGACTGCCACAACAAAATACCATAGACTGGGAGAAGTCTTAAAAAACAGAAATTTTTCCTCACGGTTCTGCAGGTTAGAAGTCGAAGATCATGGTGCCGGCCCGGCATGGTTGGTTTCTTGCGAGGGCTGTCTTCTTGACTTGTAAATGGAATGGTCACCTTCTTACCACATCCTCGTGTGACAGGGAGAGACAGCACCTGAGCAAGCTCTCTGGTGTCTTTTCTTCTGAGGGCTCTGATCCCATCCTGAGGGCCCCACCCTCATGACCTCATCTAAACCTAATTCCTTCTCAAAGGCACCACCCCCAAACACCATCACATTGGAAGTTAGGGCTTCAGCATATGCATTTGAGGGGGGATGCAGTTCAGTCTGTAGCAGGGAGATTTTTTTATTTTTTTAAATTAATAAACTTTATTTTTTTAGAGCAGTTTTAGGTTCATAGCAAAATTGGGTGGAATGTACACAGATTTCTCATAGACACTCCCTTCCCCACCCCCTCCCCCAGCTAGCCTCCTCCACTGTGGACATTGTGCATCCCAGTGATATTGATACATTTGTTGTAACCAGTGACACGTGATTGCCACATCATTGGGTGAGACATCAAAGTCCATAGTTTACATTAGGGTTCACTCTTGGTGTTGTACATTCTGTGGGTTTTGACAAATAATGACCTGTATCCACCATTGTAATATCATACAAAATACTTTCACAACCCTAAAAACCCTCTCTGCTCTGTCCTTCTTTCTTGCAGTCCCTGGAAACCCCTGATCTCATAGTTTTGCCTTTTCCAGAATGTGGTGTAGTTGAAACCATAGAGTATGTAGCCTTTTCAGATTGGCTTCTTTCACTTAGTAATATGCATTTAAGTTTCCTCCATCAAATCTAGATCTGTGGTTTAAAAAATTCCTGATAAGTGAGAATACCTCAATGTGAAGTTATTTCAACATAAAGTAGAAAAGATGCACAGAAGTTCTTAATGCTACTTTATTTTAGCAAAGGAAATCTCTCACTAATCCAGTTTCCATTCATTCTTCTATTCATGCTCCTCTTTCTCACCAACCTGAAAGTGTACATAAAAGACCATTAGGAAGTAGGCATGTTTAGAAACATAACTGATAGAATTCGGAAGGGCAAACATAAGAATGGAGAGGATGATGGGGAAATAGATGTTTGTGTTGCTTTTTGATGACTGCTTAAATAGCTCACTTTGTTACTAAAAAGGTTAAAGAAAAAACAAAAAGAATGAGCACAGATTATGGCTGGTGAGAGTAGTGAAAGCTTTTAAATGACTGGGTTAGTATTTTGTTTTTTCCTTGTAGGCTAGAAATGAAAATCTCAGCAACACATTAGTGGAACTTTCTGCTCAAGTGGGACAACTGCAAGCTCGTGAACAGGCTCTCACCACCATGATAAAGCTAAAGGTAATTCAGAATAATGATACTTCCATGTGCCAGGCACCTTGTGGTCGATAAAGTATAGTCACGTACCTTATCTTACTTAAGTCCCACAGTGACCCAGATAGGTCGAGCTATCAATATGATTCTCTTTTTTAAAATTCTGGTTTTAGAAATGAGCGAAACAAGTTTAAAATGATGCACCCAAGGCATTGAGAGGAGGCAGAACTCCACTGTGGGTTTCTGTCTTCAAGGCCTGTTCCACGGTCTAGCATGCCTGAATTAGCTGGTTTCCTTCTGAAGTATTCCACTACTACTAAGTCTCATAAAGTTATTAACAGTCAGATTACTTGTTAATGTATTTTAATTGAAAAGAAAACTTAGCAATCAGCAGTTGATATAGTCACTAACATGCCATAAACAGTGGTTGATAAACAGTTCTTTTTTTTTTTGGCCACATCGTGCAGCATGTGGGGAATTAGTTCCCTGACCAAGGATCGAACCCATGCTCCCTGCACTGGGAGTGTGGAGTCTTAACCACTGGACCACCAGGAAGTCCTGATAAACAGTCTCTTCTATTTGATGACACATGTGTTTGACCACAGGTGACTAGAGAAGTGATGCTGGTATAATGGGGCACTGATGGTAATTCACATGTGATTTTTCCCACCACATGAATGTTTTTGAGTGATCAGGGACAAGGTTTCAGAAGATTAAAGAGAAAATATTAAAATCTATAGAGTTGTGTTTAATCAAGTAGTGACCAGTTTCCTGGCTTCAGCAACCCCTACAGTTTCCATCAAAGCAAAGTCCTGGTGAAGCTGCCAAAACTGAGATGCTGAAAATGATTGCCTGACTGGTGTGTGTGCAGTGGTATTTGCTTAACTGTGTCCATGTACTTAATAGGACTACTGTGAAGTAGTCAGATTACTTTGTTATCTGATCACAAAGTTCCATCTCCTGCATCCCAACCCCTATCAGTTTTTGAATGATTTGCCCCAACCCTATTTTTTCCATAAATCCTCCTAATGTGAGATATGCAAACTGTGAAGTGTTTTAGGAACACGTATATGATGCTACCACAGGTTTCTCTGTCCATGGGATTCTCCAGGCAAGAATACTGGAGTGGATTGCCACCCCTTCCTCCAGGGGATCTTCCCAACCCAGGGATCAAACCCGGGTCTCCTGCATTGTAGGTGGATTCTTTACCTCCTGAGCCACCAGGGAAGCCCAACTTGTGTAATTGTGGCCAATTTCCTGTCGACTCCTCTGTCATGTGGGTAGTAACAACAGTTCTTACCTCAGAGAGTTACTATGAGGCTTAAATGAGTTAACACATGGAAAGTGCTGGATTGAAACTGGGTATACAATTACATGACCTGGTCTTTTTTTTTTGAGTTTTTATTAGAGTACAGTTTTATTTAGTACAGCTTCCCTGGTGGCTCAGAGGTATAGCCTCTGCCCACAGTGCAGGAGACTCGTTTGATCCCTGGGTCAGGAAGATCCCCTGGAGAAGGAAATGGTAACCCACTCCAGTACTCTAGCCTGGAAAATTCCGTGGGCTACAATCCATGGGGTCGCAAAGAGCTGGAAACAACTTCACTTTCACTTTTCACAGTTGATTTACCATGTTCTGTGTTTTAAGTGTACATCAAAGTAAATCAGTCATATACATACATAGACCCACTCCTTTTTAGGTTCTTTTCCCATATCGGCCATTACAGAGTAGTGAGTAGAGTTCCCTGTGCTATAGAGCAAGTTCTTACTAGTTACCTATTCTGTATATGGTAGTATGTACACTGTCAGTCCCCATCTCCCAATTTATCCCTGCTCCACAATGAGGTTTCAGTAAGTGTCATCTTGTTTAGTTGGCATTTTAAAATGTAACAGTTTTCAAATTTGGGTTTTAGGACAAAGATATTATTGAGGCAGTCAATCACATTGCTGACTGTTCGGGTAAATTTAAATTGTTAGAGCATGCCTTACGTGATGCTAAGATGGTGGAGACCTGTATTGTGAAAGAAAAGCAAGATTATAAGCAGAAATTGAAGGCACTTAAGATTGAAGTCAATAAATTAAAAGGTAAGGAAGAGGCCTAAATGTAGGTGTTTTATCTTGGGAATGTTTCTTCATTTGAGTTCACCTAATCTGATAACTGGGAAGAAGGCTGTTGTTAGCTTTAAGTCCCATCATGAAATGTTCATTTCATTTGTATAGAATTATGCAGCAGTTTTTGTGTTACAAGATAAATAGCAAGAGTTGGGGAAAACTGCCTAATGCATTATATTTAAAAAATAATCCTGCCTTTGCTGTACCAGTTAACTATTGCTACTATATGCCTGTGGCAACCAACAAAGGTATCTCAGTGGTGTCCTTTGATAAACTCATTTATCTGGAAGCCACTAGGGAATTGCCTGATCTCTGTTGGGCCCACTGGAGCATCTTTTCCCTGGTTGGGTAGTGTGGGCATTTCTTCCCATGGTGAAGGCAGAAACTTAAGAGAGGAAGTGGAAAGATAGGAGGGCCTGGCCCGCCATCACGTGCCCTTCATTCTGTGGCCAACGTGAATCACATGGCTGAACCCAGAGTCAGGCAATGGAAAAATATCCTCTGCCCTTTTGTGGGAGAAATTAAAAAAAAAAAATTGAGGAATGAATGCAGGGAGGGATAAGGAGTTGCCGCCTACAACAGACTACCAGAGTGGCTATTCAGTGCGTGGTCTGTTTGGGGGAGAATTCCTTTTGTGTCTTCCTTTTTCTGTTTTCATTCTCAGTAACTCCATGGTTTATTCTACTCCTTGAAGTTTTCTAATGAAATGAAGCCTGGGTACAGCAGATAGGTTAGTGCTACATACTTGGAGGTGGATCTAGGCGATAGAGTAAAAATTTGCATTTGTCTTCAGAGGGTACAGGGAGAGGCCCACTTGTCTCTGGCTTTTCCCAGCTGTATCGCAGAAGAAGCTGGATTCAGGAGCTATCTGGGTCTCAATTCCACACCCAGATGATCACATTTGTAAGTGGTCATCAGTTAGACATGAGGACTGACTCTCACAGTGGAGTAGGCAGCCTTACTTAGAATGACAAAGCGGTGCAATGGTGTGGTTATTCCGTCTCTATCTGAGGCGGGGGCCCCTCGTGAGGCAGGGAGTCACTGTTGAAATTGGGAAAGGTTATTGTGACAGGTTTAGTTTAAAAGACTCCACCTGCTAAAATCTTGTTCTAATGATGCCCTGACTCCTGGCAAATGATAATTTTGTGTCCATTTGTAGCTTCATCTAAAACCGTAATCCTACTATAAGCCCCTTGACAGCAGGGATGGACTCTAATAGCAGTCCTTGGAGTACATTGCAGGCATTCAGTAAATTTATTGAATGTTATGTATACCTAGGTAAGATTAAAAGTAAAAAGAAGTCTGTTTTTATCAACTTTTACACCTTATTTTAGAAATTTAACATTTGTTTAAATAAAATAAAAACAGGGTCATGGATAGTGAGCCAGAAAGTAAGGGACAGAGACTCATTTAGTTTGAGCGCACTGGAAAGACATCTTCGAAGGGAACATTTGAGCTGAAACTTGGATGATGGAAAGAACTAGTCATGTAAAAATCTGGGCCAAGATCTTCCAGGCAGAAGAAACAGCAAATGCAAAAGCCCTGGGGTGGTTTCAGAGGTTGGGGCAAGTGAAAGGAACAGATTGAAAGGACAGGGCCAGGCTGTACAGGGCTTAAGGTTATGAGTTTATATTTCATCCTAAATGTAGTATGAGGGCTTTTAGCAGAGAAGTGATGCCAGCAGATGGCCCTGATGGCTCTGTGGACATCAGGCTGCAATGGGAGAGGCAAGATTCGTGCAGGGAGACAGTGGGGAGCCTTGGCCAGGATCACTGCCAAGCATGCAGTGAAATGTCAGATATGGGGACTTCATATGGATTGGAAGTGGGTGCTAAGGACATGAGAGGTATTCACAGTGTATATTCCTCTAGAAACTAGTATTTATTTGAGGACTTTCTCCCCCTTCTATTTGTGAAGAGGATCTAAATGAAAAGACAACAGAAAATAACGAACAACGAGAAGAGATCATTCGCCTCAAGCAAGAGAAGAGTTGCCTGCATGATGAATTGGTCTTTACTGGTAAAAATAGATTGTTTGTTTAAGTGATTGAATAGTTATATATTTTGTAGCCTGTACTTTCTTTGGTACTACCATGGTGGGCTTTGCCTGCCTCAAAATACTATATCTATTTATGTAATTAATTTTAACACCCTTTGAGAAACAAAGAGAGACCATGCAGGACATTTTAAAGCTGTCATCATACTTCCCAGTTAACTCAGTTTTCCCTTCTGTAAAATGAGGAGCTGCTCTCCCTTCCAACTTGAGTATGTGACTATACTTCTTACTAAAAATGTAACACTTGGCTTAAAAATTCATTAAGAAAGAATCTTATGAGCCAAAGAAGGGAGGATGTTCATACTTTTGCAAACACTAGGTAAAAATTAGGAATTCAACATTTTTTCAGTTTTCCAAATACCCATAATTATTACAGTTGGAAAACTTCATGGGTTTTGTTACATCAGTATGACCCCAAAATAATAATATTGGAGATGAATTGTTCATGATTTGAAAGCAAGTTTGTCAGTAATGTGTAATGTAAAAATTGCACACACACTTCTTCACTGGCTGCCATATTCTCCTGCACTTTTAACCCCAATTCACCCCAGTGTGTTAGCTCCTCCTTTCTCTACTCCCAACTGAGAATCATTGATAAATAGATCTGATCCATATATGGCTGGATCTATATATGGCCTTGCCAGCCAAGATTTTTTTAGACTTTAATTCTGGTAGTTTGTATTAAGAAAATCATAAATTTGGAGGTAAAGTTCCAAATAGAAATTAAATGCACATTTTTGGGTCTACTCATACATTCCCTCAATGTTCTTCCTTCTAGGTAGAGAATACATTTCTATAAGTTAAAGGACAGGATACAGTATTACATTTTTTTCCGAAAGAAAGTGGAATTCTTTTTTTTTTTGAAAGTGGAATTCTTAATTTTAATCTCGTGTGATTAAGATAGGAGAAACGCAGTTTTCTGCCACTAGAGGTCACTATTTCTGTTATTTCTAGGATTGCTGTGTTTCAAAGCAATACTGTCCTATGCAGCATGCACACAGCTAAAGATACATATATAAAGATAGACATGTATTTGGATGTATACATAAAGATATGTATATTTGTAGCTTTACAGTTGAATTCACACAATCTTTGGATCAGCATATATGTGCCAGGAACTCTGTTAGTGACCAGGAAGCTCAAGGCCCACAGAGTTCAGTTCAGTTCAGTCCAGTTCAGTCGCTCAGTCATGTCCAACTCTTTGCGACCCCATGAACCGCAGAACGCCAGGCCTCCGTGTCCATCACCAACTCCCGGAGTCCACCCAAACCCATGTCCATTAAGTCTTAGTGTTACATAAAAGGTATGAATAAAATGCTGTGAAAGGTCAGCAGATGGAGAAAAATTTACAAGATATTTAATAAATAACCTCCTTTTCTTTTGGTTCATCTATTTCTACTCATTCTGTGAGGTATTACTAGGTAAAGTATATGTAATTTGTTGGCTAATACTCCAATAAATCCATTTTGTGAAATAATTTTTTAATCATTTCCTAAGCTTATTTCTTAAACATTTTTTTCTGCTCAAACCACTGTCTCAGAACAATTTTTGTACTCTTAAATGATAAAAGTGAATTACACCTAAAAATAAGTTTTAAAGGCTTAACCTGATAATGTGCTCTCAGATGCCATGGCTGAAAATTAACACATTTTATTTGAGATTGGAAGATGCCTTAGAAATGTACTTTTAATTCAAAACTTCATTTTCCCTCTTATTTGAAGTTCTTCACATAGGCTTAGAGACAGGTTTCATTTGTACATGTTGCTTATAAGAAGTTTAAAAAAAAAAACAACATGATGCTAGTTTACATTTCTGTGGTCCTGAGAGTTCTGTAAGACTGAGTGAAGGTCTTTCAGGCAGTAAAAGGCATAGCGGCTTGATCGGAGCTCAGCAGGTCCAGACTTCCAGCACCCCTTCCTTTATGCTGCTGTGCTTAGGCAGTTGTCAGCAGAGAGTTCCATATCTCTTTGTTTTCAGTAACCAACTTGTGAAAATAGGCAGAACCACTCCACTTTGGTCCCTAGATAATCCAGCCATGTAGGAAAGTGTCAGATCTAAGGAAACAATTCTGTTTTATGCAACAGTAGATTATTCTAAAGACAAATTAAGGCAGTACTGAAGTACATTCAGAATCGCCCTTTCAATGCTAGATAAAGTCGTTAGCTTTTGTTTAGGGGGCCGTGCTGTGCCCTAAAGAAGTATCTCTAAACACTGGGAAGGCACCAGCATGTTAGATGCTGTTAAAAACCAGAGGTGGGTAGAACAGAGAGCAGCCAGGAGACCTAGACGCCCTATAGGCATCACTTCCACTGTGAAAGGAGCTATGGCCCCTCTTTTATTGTTTTCTTTGTGCATAGGATTGAATTCATACAAACTAAATGGGGCTTCATAAATATTGCAAGTGCACTACTTTTTTAGGCTTTTGTTATGGTGTTGACTCATCTAATGCAAGGAAATAAATTCAGGAATGAGGAGATGTAGTAGTTTAAACCCGAGGCGGTGGCTTTTACTATGCCATGTCCTCCATTCTGTGCAGGAGGATTACCTTTTTAAAAGTAAGATGATGCTACAGACCTGGGTTGGGAGGGCTGAGCATTAAGTGTGCTTGGGTAGGAGGTGGTGGCTTTTCACAGGTCACTCCCCATGCTCTATTCCACCTGGCCTTGCCCTGATTACTAGCAAGCACTTGGCAGAAAAGCTGTCTAGGTAGTCTCCGTCCCCAGCGAAGCTCATGCCTTTGTCCTTGGATGGTTTCTGTGATGTTCCAAATGTAAAGCGACGGTAAAATAAATATTGTATTCTTCATCCATGAGAAAAATGACATGTGGAAAAGGAACTATTAATAAACCATAGGAGTTGCACGTTTTGACTTAGGCTGCCTCTGATTGACTCAAAATCCATTCATGTAATAGAGGGCCATTTTGTGCATTTCATTTGACCTTCTTATAAAGATAGTGGGTTTTTTTTTTAGGTGAAACATTTACTGTCGATCCCTCACTTCTGTGTGAATGAAATGATTTCTCCTTAAGCATAATACTGATATTTTTTTCTGGTGCAAGTCTTCATGTAGAGCTTTAGATCTTTCCTTTCTGTGGGTTCTCATTTGCCAAGTTCTGAAACTGTTTTAAAAATATTCCAACCCTAGTAATAATGAAGTGTCCCCATTTCAGCAGAATGTTTATGGTCTTTATAAGATGGAGATTTTAAAAAAATACCTTTTTGTCTTTCTGAGCTAGGAAGTTGAATGTAATACTCAAGTGTATATTCAAGACAATTCTGAATCTTAATTACCTATCAGGTAAAAAGAGTTTTCAAGAAATAGAAAGTCTGTAATGGGGTCCTGGGCTTTCATTAAAATGGAAAGACAAGTTTCTCTACCTATGGGGTCACCTCATACGGTCAGGTATCTTAAGTCTTTGGTTTGCAAGATCACATAGGAATAGCCTGATTGTGAGATTGTATCAGATTGACTTACATACTGATGAAAACAGTGATTTTTTTTTTTCTTGCCCCTTGTAATGTTAGTTTTTTTTCTGTTGATAAAAGTAATATGTTGTTTGGATTTTTATAAGGAAAATGCATTTATAAGTTACCTGTGTAATGTGAATAAATAAGTAAAGAATAAAGTATTAAATTTTAGAGATTTAGAACTCATCCCCTCCCCCCAAAAAAGGAAAACAATTTTCTTTAATCCTTACATCTAAAAATGACTTCTTTTGATATTTCACTGTGCTTGCCGTCAGCCTTTTTCAATGCATATATGTACATACGGACACACACATGTCATTTGATCATAGAGTTTGTACAGTTTGGAATACTTTTTTGACTTAGCATTAATTATATTGCAAAAGTTTTCAAATTTGGTGAAGGATCTAGTTAGAATCACAGATTAAACTTCCTCCCAGGCATTCATTTTGCAATTTTAAAATTCAGAAATGAGTGGGAAAAAAAATGTTAGCCATGTGCACATTCAGTTGTCAGAAATGAAGAGGTGTGTATTGATGTGGCTGGTGAAAAGTGTTTTAATAATATTTGTTCTTAAATAGCAGAGAGAGAAAAAAGGAAAGATGAGTTACTTGATATCGCAAAGTCAAAGCAAGAACGCATGAATGCAGAATTGCATAATCTGAGACAGGTACGTCCCCACTTTTCACTATTAAGTGGGAAGCATAAATTAGGAAAAGTGTATGCCTGGTGATTTTGTTTATGGTGCTTCTGGAATCCTATTTTAAAGGTGTATCAGTCATATTAACCTCGCAGATAGAGTCTTGCTTATAGTAAAGGAGACTAGTTAGGCTAACAAATCTTGGTGCTAACATAGGAAAAATGAAAGCAAACATATTCAGCGTATGTCTTTAGCCGCTGTCTGATACGTTTTAGCACCTGAAATGCCCAATTGTTGGCTTGCTTTAGCTTTGTCGTTACACTTTGTATTGATTTATCAATATCTATGGCAGATTTACGTAAAACAACAGCGTGATCTGCAGTTTCTTAATTTCAATGTGGAAAATTCTCAGGAATTAATACAGATATATGACTCAAAGATGGAGGAATCAAAGGGCATGGAATCCAGGTAACCTTAGTAAGATGCCATTAATATCATATTGTATTTATTCCATCATTCATCAATATTTAAGTACCTACTATGGGTCAGTACTTACTACTCTTCCCTAGATAGCAGGGAGTAAATGGGAATAAATATATGTGAGCTAATAATTATCATTCTAATCCTGGGTTGTAGTGAGACTAGATTTAGAATTTTAGGCATGATCCTAATTAAACTATTTGATAAATTTCATTAAATACATTATTTGTGTGTGTGTGTGTGTGTGTGTGTGTGTGTGTGTTGTATAGAAGGCTTTGAGGTAAAGTAGAAATTACAGAGATGAATCATTTATTCAAAACTCTCAGTATTTTAGGCACTGGGCTAGAAACAGGGAAAATAAAGATATACTGGGTATAATACTTACCTAAAAGAAAGAACATCAAAGAATGGTAGAAATAACTGCAGTAGAAGTTCAGCTGAGGGTGACCTCTGCTTGCAGCTTGATTTTTCCATTTTCCTTATTAATAGAAGATATCTGCTCTTACCTATAACAGGCAGTATGTGAATTAAATTGGTTTCTTTAAAAGTATAATATAAACATATGAAGAGTGGTTTAATTTAACAAGCATACAACTGTCCCACAGTTCAGTTTAGTCCACTTATTCAGACGAAATAGTAAGGGAGTTGTGGAAAGGAGGAGGCGTTCAGGTTATTCCCATCTCTCCACCTAAGGGCAGAAGCTGGACCCAGTGGTGCAGCTCCTCTCCCTAGGAGGGTGGGGTTCAGGGCTGGGAGTGGTCAGGAGTTGCAGGGTTTTGCTGCAGACAGTAAGACTGGGGACTCCCCCCACACTTTGCTACATTGGCTCTGCTTTTCTTCGAGGTCTTTTACTGGGGGTTCTAACACCATCGCTTTGTATCCCAGCATCTGCAGCTTCTCCTAATAAACACCAGACCAAGCTGGAGATCTCCAGCAGGCAGAAGCCCCTAACCAGTTGTATCTCTTTCCTTTTTGTACTTCATTTCCTCTGGGAGGCACCTGGCCTAGATGATTGAGGTTATTCTTTAAGAACATAAAGTGACCTTTCCCATTCTAGAAGGAGAATCAGAATCATATAGATTAGAACACCTGAACACATGTGACATGAGAATTTTAACAGGCAATGTATTAAAAGGTTTATCACAATGATTTTTATTTTATGCACGTGTGTCATTTTTACTTTAGACTGGTTTTCAATGCATAGCTACATAGGTATGCCGCAGATAAATGGGATAGTCATGAATACATTGTAAACACATCTGGCACTGTCCAGTTTATCTCTATACCTTGAATCCCCATTGCCTTTCAGTCCTGGCTTTAGCTCTGTTTACTGTGAAACTAATAGAGTTAGGAAAAGAAATAACAGATCGATCAACGAGTATTTACAGAACACTGAGTGTGTATTAACACCCGTCCTAGGTGCTAGGGGGATTAAAAATGGCTTCATATGTGAAAAACACCCTTAGGCATCTTCAGACAAGACACTCATGTATGAAACAGCGAGCCATACAGTTGTAATAGGAGAGGCTCACTCTGATTAATTAGATCATATATGCAGTAAGATAGTCATTTGCAGTATGGACAGTATGGACAGTAGACCTTAAGGATGGGTCATGGGGGAGTGGGCATATGGGCTTGGTGATCAGAAAGACTTCCTGGAGGAGGCTGGGCGAAAATTGGGCTCCGAAGAATATAAAAAGTCTGCCTTCTATTTTCAACTGAGACAAATGGGTCTTATTAGGGTTTAGCTCAACTGATGAGGTTTGAGTGAAATATTTAGAATGACAGTATCAAGTGTATCTTATAACTTCCTGTTTTTTGTAATGCCACCATAGCAGAGACATGTGTTTATCAGACCTTGAAAATAACCACCTAAAAGTCGATTTTAAGAGGGAGAAAAATCAGAAGTCACTGGTTAAGGACCAAAAATTTGAGACCACGTTGGTTCAGCAAACTAGGTCAGACAAGAGCTCTTGTGATGTATGCAAAGAGAAGAAACTACAGGTTAATACTTCATTTGGGGGAAAAAGTGTAATTGCTATCTCATCTCTATTTGCAAAAGACTTAGTGGAGAAACAAAAGTCTTGGTCTCTGGGAGGAAAAATCCAGATTGAACCCGAAAACAAAAGTACATTTTGCAAGATCCACGCAAAATCACACAAAGGGAATGGAATTGGGATTCAGAATGAAGAGAAGCAACCCTCAGAAACATCAACATCTGTATCTGATGATAAATGGCATGATGTCAACGTTTACCTGGGCCTAGCCAGCTGTTCTGATTCAAAACAGCCAGAAAAGCTGGATGTCGACTATCAGGACCACCTGGAAAGGCCTGGAGTCTCCTGTTGCCACAAAAATGAAGACTGTGTGGATGAAAGCGACATGTGGGAGTCCAAGTGCTGCCACCCAAGTAACTTCATAATCGAAGCGCCAGGCCACATGTCTGATGTGGAGTGGATGAGCATCTTCAAGCCTTCCAAAGTACAGAGGGTCGTGCGCCACAAGTCCATGTGCACCTGTTCAGAAAGTGCCAGCAGGACCAAGTACAACTCTTCGACAAGGTCAGTCTCCTTTCACCTTTGTAAACACCCAGGGAGCCTGCTTGGTGCTGTGGTTTAGTTGCTAAGTCGTATCCAACTCTTTTGCGCCCCATGGACTGTAGCCCGCCAGGTACCTCTGTCCATGGGATTCTTCCAGCAAGAATACTAGAGCGGGTTGCCATTTCCTCCTCTAGGGGATCTTCCTGACCCAGGGATTGAACCCACGTCTCTGCATTTTCAGGTGGATTCTTTAACCCCGAGCCACCAGGGAAGCCCAGGGAGCCTACTTACTGAGTTTAGAAATAGAAAAGGCCTGCAGGAGCCACTTCTGCCAACTGTGAAATGAAAGCAGTATTTGCAACAGACATTGCGTTTGACACACCACTTCCTCTTTTCATCACAGCATAGGCTGTTGAGTTTTTGATTGCACAGAGACTGATTCCAGTGAGAAGTTTGTGCCTAGGACAGCATCTGAGGCAAAGGTTTTGCTTAACAACACAGTTAGTCGTCATGAGCTGAGCAAACATGTTTTGTTTTAAAACAAACGGGGAGGTCACTTCACCGAGTACAATGCTGCTCTGGGGCATTCCTCAGCCTGGATCCTTTTGAATCGATAAGCTGTTTCTTTCATGTCCAGATTATATTCCCTAGACCCCAGATAAGACATTCTCCTGGCCTGCATTGGCTTATTGATACATCCAACTGCTTTGGCCTTTGTGTTCAGTTTACCTCTCCCAACTTTCTTACTTTTCAAAATCATGCAAGAGAAAGAATATTTGTATTTAACAAGCTGGTAACAGTATTGGTCTTTTTTTCAGTTTTATTGAGATATAACTGATGTAGAACACTGTCTAAATTTAAGGTGTTTGCCATAACGATTTAACTACATCAGGAAATGATGACCACAGTAAGTTTAGTGAATATCCATCATCTTGTATAGATACAAAAGAAAACAAAATTGTTGTTTCCTTGTGATGAGAACCCTTAGGATTTACCTTCTCAGCAATTTTTGTATATAGCCTACATCAGTGTAAATTTTATTAATCCTACTGTATGTGAAATCTCTAGTTCTTTTAACTGTAAGTTTGTGCCTTTTGATGATTTCTATCCGACTGTATTTTTTATTTTTTTTAAGAGAAGAAAATGCATTAGTTATTAGCAAATGCTGCTCATCCCACTGTCAGTTGCTGAATCCTATAGTTAGTTGTGGGGCACTATGCTAACTTCTGCTATTATTAAAGAAAACCTTGCTCTTTGACCTTAAATTATAGAAAAATAAAGTTTCTATATTGAGAGCCTTATCTGAATCATCACATTGACTTTCATAGGACTTTATAGTTAAAAATTTCTTTCTTTTGATTTTCATTGTTTGGGTTATCATTTGGCCTGAGTCACATAAAAATCATATACTGATTCTGTCAGTTGCAAAAGTTTTTTAAAAAATTGGTTGTTACACTAAATGTTACCTGTTCATATTTGGTTTTAATAAAAGATTGCCTTAAGTACTCGCAAATCCCAGTAGGGCACAACTTCCTGTTTTTCACTACTGAACAAAAACACGCATATTATCAAGGGAAAATTTTGTGTTAGACAGTTTTAAGAGCACAGTGGACATACATTAAATTTAAAGCATGAAAGAAATTCCAAAGCAACTTCGGAGTTTTCTTTCCAGGCCCCTTTGACCTCCCTGGCTTGAAATAATTCAAGTGACTTCTTGTTCTGCCAGCAGAGGCGCATGCCAAGGCATCGCATGGCGAGTGTATGATTCAGTGGAAAAGATCATCGTGTTTTCCCATCCCTCCTTAGACTGTGAGAGCTTGTGTGCTCACGTCATCGTCTGACCAAAATGTCCTTCACTCTTATGCCTCCGTTCCATTTGACAGCTAGGGGCATATCTGCTGATGGAGAAGCCATAGCAGCCTGCCCTGACTGATCCTGAAGGTCCGTGGGAGAAGGAGGTTTCCAGGGTCTGTTTCCAGGCTCTGCTTTGAGGCCAGACTTTAATAACCTGCCCAGAAACTTAGCTACATGTGTCTGTTCTCTAATTACTGAGATCCTGTAGAAGAATTAAGGACCCATAATGGTGCCATTCAACTTTCACAAAAGAACTTTTAAAAAACTATTAACAAAAATCAGTCTCATGCCAAAACCCTAAAATCTACACGTTTAACCTTATACTGTATTAATTTTTTTACCCCGTCTCTCTTGGATGATCCTATCCCTCAAACCTTTTCTTTGCTGTTTTTTTTCCCAAGGTGTAGAGAGGAGGAAAATTCTCTCTTCTGCAGTTACCCTTTAACAAAGAATTTTGTTTTCTTGCTGTGAAGGGTGTGCATTAATTTATAATATCCTATATAAATATCCTATTCGAATCTATAACATTCTATTCAAACTTGAGCTTCTTCATTAAAAAAGAAAAATCTCTCTTTTTTTTGTCCTGTTGAGATGCTTTTCAGTATAAGAGTACTGGTGTCATATGTTTGCTATTGTTTCAAGATGTCTGTTTTTGTTTGGTTTTATTATTCACAGTGAGCTGATCGCCATTCAGCAGTCCCACTGTTTGGGTTCTTCAAAATCTGCCTTAAGAGAGGATGAGAAGTTGATAGAGATAGAATCCTCTTTGGATAAAAAGAACTCATCTAAGATTTTGTTAGTCAACAAAGACACAGCCCTGCCCAGTGAAAAGGTTTGTATTTCACTTAGAAATACTCAGCTTTAAAAAAAAAAAGAGAAATACTCAGCTTAGGGACTTCCCTGGTGGTCCAGTGGTTGGGACTTAGCTTTCTGATACAGGCGGGTGTGCGCTTGATCCCTGGTCAGGGAGCTAAGACCCCACATGCCTCATGGCCAAAAAGCAAAGAACATAAGAAGAATATTGTAACAAATTCAATAAGGACTTTAAAAATGGCCCATATTTTTCTTTTTTAATCTTTAAAGAAAGAAAGAAATATCCAGCTTATTCAAGCAAGATTTCTCCCCAGGACACTTAATTCTCCTGTAACAATATTGTTAGTGTGCTTAATTTTGGCAGTTTTTCAGGTTTTATTTTAGCTATAGCACTTTACCTGCATTACTGAACTGAAGTCATAGTTACTTTCCTTCTGTTTTCTTTAAACATACTGTAGGTTAGCTTCAGGCAAAATGTCCCTCAGGCCCTCCAAGTGATTGCTATATCTATTTTTAGTAAATAGTTTAAACACACAGAAAAAGAAGAGTACAAGAAGCAACTGTGTATCTACATTCAGATTTAACATGTTTACATTTTGCTGTATTTGCTTTATTTTTCAAGTGTTAAAGAAATAGAATCTTACTGATAAAGAGTAAACTCCATGTGTCATTCTGCCCCATCCCTCCGCTGCCGCCCGCCCACTGCCACCAGTTAACCACTACAGTGAAGTTGTGTCCGCATTTGCTTTATGCTTTTATGTTTTTCATAAAAGTGTACACTTAAACATCACATACTGTTACTTTGTTTAAAATGTACATAAGTGTCTTTTGCAATGTGATTTTCCAGCTCTTTTTCCCAGTATTTTGTGGCCCTCATCAGTGTTGACATTGTGGACCTAGTCTCTTCATTTTGATCGTTGCTCAATGTGCTGTCCAGGGATTGAATAAACTGTGGTCTGTTTGTTCCACCCCTACATGCAGGCAGTAGGGCTATTTCTGTGTGGGTGTGTGTTCAGTCGCTCCAGGGGGTCTCCCCCACCCAGGGATAGAACCCACTTTTCCTGCGTCTCCTGCATGGGCAGGCAGATTCTTTCTGACTGAGCCACTCGGGGAGCCCTGAACTGGTTTCTGCGCTGTCATTATTGTGGCTGAGCCGGTGTCTTTATCATGAACGGGCTCCTGATCACAGCTCTATCGTAAAGAAGATTAGTTCAAGTAAACTTAGTCATTTGGGGGGTATTTTGGGAAGATATCTGGCTTTGAAAGCATCTGATCTAAGTTCAAATCCCCGTTTTGGTTTGTCTTAGCTCAGTGACCTTAATACAGTTATTTAACTTCTTTGAGCCTCAATTTCTTCACCTACAAATATATAATTAAAGCATCACAGTTGGGGCTTCCTTCGTAGCTCAGACGATAAAGCATCTGCCTGCAGTGCAGGAGACCTGGGTTTGATCCCTGGGTCGGGAAGATCCCCTGCAAAAGGAAATGGCAAACCACTCCAGTATCCTTGCCTGGAAAATCTCCTGGACAGACGAGCCTGGCAGGCTACAGTCCATGGGGTCGCAAAGAGTCAGACACAACTGAGCGACTGATGCACACACACAGCATCACAGTTCCTTGGTTTCAAGGGGATGTCGTAGGGCTTGGCCACTAATGGGTGTTTTGATGAATGTTGGTTCTCTTTGTTATGAATTGACGGTACCAAGTGTTGACTAGAATCAGGAGCCTCTGGACTGTTCATTCACTGATGGCAGGAATGTAAATGGCAGAGCCACTTTGGAAAACACTTGGGTACTTTCTATTAAAAAACTGCTTAAAAAAAAAGTTAAATATATACCTACCATATGACCCAGCTCTTCTACTCCTGGAGAAATGGAAACATATGTCCACATAAATATTCAAGCAGCTTTATTTTCACTAGTTAAAAAAACCTGGGAACAACCTGAGTATGCTACAGAAGGTGAATAGATAGACAGTGCTTTATCTGTATAATAGAGTACTTCTCAGCAATAAAAAGGAATAAACTATTTATACACATAAAGTATGGGTGTACCCCAAGATAATTATGCTGAGATAAGAAGCCAGACAGACAAAAGTATGTAATGCATTTATATAAAGTTCTAGAAAATGCAAACTAATCTCCTGAGAGAGAAAGCAGATCAGTAGTTGTCTGGAAATGGGAAGGAGGGACTCTGACAGGCAAGAATTCCCCAGGGACACAGGCATGATAAATGTGACCTGTATTCATCCTGGGAATGGTTTCATGGGTGTGTACACGTGCCAGAAATCACCAGATATTCACCGAATTGTATAGTTAATTGTATGTTCACTGTGGAAAACTCACAGGTTGTACACAGGTTATATACTGTGAAAAACTTTTTACACAAAGTAGAAAATTAAACAAGAATGAACAAACTAAGGTGTATTTCCACATATTTTTAAAAGCTAACAGAGGACTTCCCTGGCGGTTCAGTGGTTAAGACTCTGTGTTCCCAATGCAAAGGACCTAGGTTCGATCCCTGATCAGGGAACTAAGATCCTACATGCTCCATGGTATGACCAAAAAATAATAAGTTAAACTATTTAAAAGCTAGCAAGCCTTTAGTGTTAAAGTTGCATTTTGTAAGTGTTTTGACTTGGTAATTACAGCCTTGACAAGTTGATTTAAGAGAGGTAAACAACACCTACGATTCTTTTATCACATGGGTGCTACTTAATTAGTTGTAGTAAGTTCTGTTGAAGTCAAATTACCTAGTCAAATAGGTTTTAAGAAAGAACTGAAATTTGGTTCTTTTAGTATTTAGTGTTCTGCTTTGGGATGTAACAAACACCTAAAGTGAAAGAATGAGTCATGAATAGTTGACGTTTGTGTCTGTTAGATTGTTCTTGTCGACATAAATGTTGGAAAGTGTTTCTTGATTTCATCAGTGCTTGAATTGTGTTGTGTTCCCAGGATGATTTTTCCCCCACAAGTAAGCTTCAGCGTTTGCTGGCAGAATCCCGTCAGATGGTCACGGACCTGGAGCTGAGCACCCTGCTTCCCATCAGCTCTGAGAATCTCAGCACCAGCAAAAGCGTACGTGCTTCCTTTTCTTTTGACCCCACCTGTAGTATCTGAACATTTTCCGTCATTGTGTGCCAGTGTCAATTTCTGTTAGAATGACAGTGTCTTCATGTCTGGGGGAAGGGGTTAGTAGCCTGGGTTTAAGAAGGAACAGAATGTTGCCACAGATGTCACCACACCCAGACTTCCTCTTTCCAGTTACCTGGGCACATGCACGTACATTCTGGGGGATTTTTAAAAGACATTTTATTATAGAAAATTTCAGGTACAAAAGTAGAAAGAATACTTCTAATCCCAGAGTTTCAGTAACCATCAGCTTTTTGCTGCCTTTGTTTCATCTTCCCCCATCCATTGCTGTTTTTTTCCTGAAACATTTTAAAGCAAACCCTAGACATAATGTCAGGTTTCCCTGGCGGCTCAGTGGTAAAGAATCTGCCTGCCAATGCAGGAGATGCAAGAGACATCTTGCATCTAGCATTCGATCCCTGGGTCTGCAAGATCCCCTGGAGTAGGAGATGGCAAGCCACTCTAGTATTCTTGCCTAGAAAATCCCATGGACAGAGGAGCCTGGTGGGTAGCTACAATCCGGGGGATCACACAGAGTTGAACATGACTTAGCAAAAACAACAACAGACATCATGTCTTTTCACTCATATGTACTTCATTCTGTGGCTCTAACAGATAAGGACTTTTATCATACCCAGCCAAATTCACAGTAACTTCTTAGTACTGTCTAATGACTACTACACCACCTTAAGGTCTCCCCGTTTGTCTCAAAAGTATCTTTTTACTATTTGTTCAAATTAATACTCAATCAAGATCCATATTTTGCATTTGAATGAATCCCTAAGGTCTCTCTTTGTCACTAACAGTTCCTTCTCCTTCCTTCCCTCCTTCTCTCCTTCCTTCCTCCTCTCTTCTTTCTCTTGTGTTTCATTTTTTAAAAAATATTTATTTGTTTGACTGTGCTGGGTCTTAGTTGCAGCACGTGGGATCTTATTAGTTTCCCAACCAGAGATTAAACCTGGGCCCCCTCCATTGAGTGTAGAGTCTTAGCCATTAGACCACCAGAGAAGTCCCTTCTTTCTTTGTCTTTTGATGCCACTTATTTGTGGGAGAAGCACTGGGTCATTGTCCCATAGATTTGCCCAGGGACTGAGATAGGCTTGATGACTCCATCCTCACTGTTGCGTCACACATACCTCTAACCCCCAAATTCCTGTAAGCTAGTATTTCTATCTTGTGACTTGTTTAGACTTGGGATCAGTTTGGGTTCTCTTTGTTTGTTTTGGCACTACGCCTTTGTGGGTGACACCTAGTCTGCTGCCTAGTGCATCATATCAGCAGGCTCCTCGTGTCCGGTTGCCCCACTTTTGGATGTCAGACTTAACAGGGAGGTTGTCAGCCTGAGGTTTTTTATTATAGAGTTTCCCTAAAGTTCACTTAATGACTTTAGTGTTTCTTGATTATTATGCCTTAGATCTGTTGTTTCATTAGGAATTGCAAAATAGTCATTTTCTAAATCTATCAGTCTTTGGGAGTGTGTCACACATTAATTCTAACTGCTTTCTTCGAGCACAGTTGCGGTAGCAGTGATATAAGTTGCTTTGTAGATTTTATAGCCTGACATAAATAGTGAAAAGAACATTGAACTTGAAATCAGGACACTTGAGTCCCAGTTTCCCAATCTGTAAATACAAGCTTGAGATGGGTGCTATAAGATTCCAGGTCCATTAGTTGGCTGTGCTGTGGACATAGATCAAGATACTTGAAAGCCATTGAGTTAAACATTTTTGTATCCTTGACCAAATAAGATTAAAAAGGTCTGCAAGACATTGAAATACCATTTGTTAAAAAATTTTTAAATTTATTTTTGGCTGCACTGTGTCTTAGTTGCAGCAGGCAGGATCTTTGCTGTAGCAGACGGAATCTTTCATTTCAGCGCACCGGCTCTCTCTAGTTGTGGCGTGAAGGCTTAGGTACCCTTCTGTCTGTGGGATTTTAGTTCCCCGACCAGGGACGGAAGCTGTGCCCCTTCATTGGAAGGTAGATTGCTTTTTTTTTTAAACTTTTTTACTTTGTATTGGGGTATAGCTAATTAACAATGTTGTGATAGTTTGAGGTGAACAGGGAAGGGATTCAGTCATACATGTACATATATTCATTTTCCCTGAAACTCCCCTCCCATTCAGGCTATGGAAGGTGGATTCTTACCGCTGGACCACTAGGGAAATCCCTGAAATGCCTCTTTTTTTAAAAATCATTTATTTATTTATGGCTGCGCCGGGTCTTCATGGCTGCACGTGGGGCTTTCTCTAGTCTTGGTGAGCGGGGGCTCCTCGTCGCAGCGGTTTCTCTTGTTGCAGAGCACGAGCCCTGTGTGCAGGCTCGGAGGCTGCACTGCACGAGCTTGGTTGTTCTGCAGCATGTGGGGTCTCCTGCACTGGTAGGCGGGTGCTTTACCACTGAGCCACCGCGAAAGCCTGTAATGCCTATATGCAGGCGTGCATGCGTGCGAAGTTGCTCCAGTCGTGTCCAGCTCTTTGCAGCCCACTGGACTACAGCCCACCAGGCTCCTCTGCCCATGAGATTCTTCAGACAAGAATGTTGGAGGGTTGCCATTCCCTTCTCCAGGGGATCTTCCCAGCCCTGGGATCGAACCCACATCTCTTATGTCTCCTGCATTGGCAGGCGGGTTCTTTACCACTAGTGCCACCTGGGAAATGCTAGACTCAGTGGTAAAAAATCCACCTGCCAAGCAAGAGACGTGGGTTCAATCCCTGGGTTGGGAAGATCCCCTGGAGGAGGAAATGGCAACCCACTCCAGCTTCCCTGCCTGGGAAATCCCATGGACAGAGGATCCTGGTAGGCTACAGTCCATGGGGTCAGAAAAGAATTGGAACTGACTTAGTGACTGAACAACCACCACCAACATCCCTTTCAAGATATAGAACATCTCCATCACCCCAGAAAGTTCCCTCATGGTCTTTGGAGGGAATCTTTCCCTCCCTCCCCCCAGGCAACTACTGATTTGACTTTTATCATTAGAGAATAGTTTTGCCTGTTCTAGAACTTCATATAAATGCAGTGATGCAGGTTGTACTATTATTTTATGACCAACCTAGACAGCATATTTGGAGAAGGCAATGGCAACCCACTCCGGTACTCTTGCCTGGAAAATCCCATGGACAGAGGAGCCTGGTGGGCTGCCGTCTATGGGGTCGCACAGAGTCGGACACGACTGAAGGGACTTAGCAGCAGCAGCAGCATCAGACAGCATGTTAAAAAGCAGAGATATTGCCTTACCAACAAAGGTCTGTCTAGTCAAAGCTATGGTTTTTCCAGGAGTCATGTGTGGATGTGAGAGTTGAACTATAAAGAAAGCCGAGCACTGAAGAACTGATGCTTTTAAACTGTGGTGTTACGGAGAAGACTCTTGAGAGTCCCTTGGACTGCAAGGAGATCCAACCAGTCCATCCTAAAGGAAATCAGTTCTGAACATTCATTGGAAGGACTGATGCCGAAGCTGAAACTCCAATACTTGTGGCCACCTGATGTGAAGAACTGACTCATTGGAAGAGACCCTGATGCTGGGAAAGACTGAAGTTGGGAGAAGGGGATGACACAAGATGAGATGGTTGGATGGCATCACCGACTCAATGGACATGAGTTTAAGCAAGCTCCGGGAGTTGGTGATGGACAGGGAGGCCTGGCGTGCTGCAGTCCATGCGGCCGAAAGGAGTCGGACAGGACTAAGCAACCAAAGTAACTGACTGACTGACAGGTTGTTCTCCATATCTAGCTTCTTTCAGTAGAATTATTTTGAGATTCATACATGTTGCTGTTTATCAGTATTTCACTCTCTTTTTATTGCTGCTTAGCATTCCATTGTATGAAAAGACCACAGTTTGTTTATTAGCCTGTTGATTGGCTATCTGGGTTGTTTCCAGTTTTGGACTATCATAAGTAAAGCTGTGAACATTTCACACACACAAGCCTTTTTTCTAAATGGACATATGTCTTCATTTCTCTAAGGGTAAATACCTAGAAGTAGAATTGCTAGTTATAGCATTTAAATTTTTAGTAAACTGCCAAGTCATTTTTCAGAGTGGTTGGTACCAGTTTACGTCCCTCCCAGCCCTGTATGAAAGACCTAGGTTCTCCACAGCCTCACACAACTGTGATTTCTTTTTTAAATTATGGCTGCACTGGGTCTTCATTGCTGCTCATGGGCTTTCTCTAGTTGTGGTGAGTGGGGGGCTACTCTCTGTTTGTGGGGTGCCGACTTATTGCGGTGGTTTCTCTTGTTGCAGAGCAGATGCTCGTGTGTACTGGCTCAGTAGCTGAGGCTCAGTAGTAGTTCCTCCGGCATATGGAGTCCTCCCGGACCCAGCAATCAAATCGTTGTCCCCTGCTTTGGAAGGCAGAGTGTTAACCACTGGACCACCAGGGAGTCCCTGGCCTCAGTTTTGTCAGTCCGTTTGATTTTAGCCATTCTACTATATTTGACGTAGCATCTCACTGCCATTGACTAATTTGCATTTTCCTGATAACCTAACGGCAGGCATCTTCATGTGCTCGTTGGCCCTTCAGATGTCTTCCACTTCTCCTATGTACTCTGCTTTCCCAGCATCTCTAGAGTCCGTGAATCAGTTAGTTCATTTCAGTCGCTCAGTCGTGTCCAACTCTTTGCGACCCCATGAACCACAGCATGCCAGGCCTCCCTGTCCATCACCAACTCCCGGAGTCCACCTAAACCTGTGTCCATCGAGTCGGTGATGCCATCCAACCATCTCATCCTCTGTTGTCCCCTTCTCCTCCTGCCCTTAGTCTTTCCCAGCGTCAGGGTCTTTTCCAATGAGTCAGCTCTTCACATCAGGTGGTCAAAATATTGGAGTTTCAACTTCAACATCAGTCCTTCCAATGAACACCCAGGACTGATCTCCTTTAGGATGGACTGGTTGGATCTCCTTACAGTCCAAGGGACTCTCAAGAGTCTTCTACAACACCAA